ATGTGATCTTGATTGGGACCTGAGTACAGACCCAAAATAAGAATAAATGAGGAATTTGTTTATGATGATAAATCATTAGAATAAGTGATATGAATTAAATGAGAGAACCTTTTTGAATAAAGGTCAATTAAATCAATTTTAACCCAGTCAAAGTCAAACACCTTAAAAATATGCTGTCGGAAAAAGTATTTCAAATAAATATAAAAACTATATTGTTGAATAGAACTGGACTGTCTGATCGCAACGATGCAAACAAAATTCAATTCGGAGAAAGTTGGACCAAAAAGTGGACCCCAACTAGAACCAAAATTGGTCTCAATCAGGGAACATCATGAAGATAGTCGTCATGCGCACTAATGTCGTTCGTGAGTCATCTGTGACTCACAATTCATTGGTTTCTTCTTCCTCTCCTTCCTTATATAAGAAGCACACATACTCTTCCATTTCTTCACGAAATCACCCAATTTTTCTTTCTATTATGTTGCTCTAAGTGTGAGGAGTGTTGTGGTGCTGTCAATTTGGTGTATAGTCGCCGGAGCAAGCTATGGTGTTCGTTGGGAGTTTCACTGTAAAATTTCCAAAGCCAATTTAAGCTCGAAGTAAGTCCGTAGATATATCTAATGACTAGAATGTTCATATATGTCGTTTCTACGTTCACAAATGGTCATTTGGTTGACTTTTGTGTTTGACATGTTTGAAGAACCAAGAATCATTAACCTTGAAATTGATGTTAAAACTATAAACTAATGCCACCAAAATGATCTATGAACCTTGAAGAACCTTTCTATATACTTTAATTGAAGTTTGATTACTAAAAATGACATTTCTGAAAGTTGGCTTGAGGTAGAAGATGATGAAAAATCGATTTTTCATGGATAAATCGATTACACTTTCGTCTGCTGAAGAAATTGAGTTTAGCAGCAAAATAATCGATTATTTTAATTAATCAATTATTTAAAAATCGATTATTTGAACAAAATAATCGATTATGACATTAATCCGCTGCAGTGGGGGAGGCAAGATCGAATTCTCGCGGGGGCACAATTACGATCATCAGGAAGCAAAAATTCATTTAAAAAATACGGAGTAACAAAATTTTTTAATAATAGTACCAATTTTAATAGGAAAAGAGTAAATTTACATAGAACTATATAAGTACATTTTATTTGTGTAATGAGGAAGAATTGTTTTGTGGCCGTAGAAATTTTTTTTGAGATGCCAAGAGCATTTTGCTAAGTATCATTTTCTTATGGTATCTTTAATTTCAAATGCAAAAGTATTAATTACTTTTCGTAATCCCAGATTAGCAATAATATCATCATCTAAAACCACACTTTCTTTCTCCAAAGAAATTTTTTCCTTGTCTTTATCATTTACCAAAGATAAATTACTTAGTTGTCTAATAAAAAAATTGTCCATCTCAAAAATTTCTAATTTTCAACAGTATAAATAAATCATTGATGAAACAAATACTCCGTAACAATTTGTTCTAATTTAACTCTAATACTCCCTCTATCCCTAAAAGATTACCATAGTTTAAGTTTTTTGTCAAATTGTGTCAGTCTTTGACTGTGAATTATGAAAAAGATATATTTAATAAATTTTGTAAAATTTAATTTTTTAAAAATATAGTTATAAAATATCAAATTTTTATAATATTTAATTATTTTAAGTTATATTTAATAGTACCACATTTTAAATTTGAATTATTAAAAATATCAAATTTTTATAATAAAATCCTTAATTACTTTCTACAAAGATTTACGCAGTACAGCAATGCCTAAAGGGTCAATTGGAAACCTCTCTTTTTTATGATCCCAACAGAGTTATAATTGTATTAGGTTTTGTATTTGTGCATAGAATGTTGACAAACAGTGTCCTAGAAAATGCTAGCTAGGTTGGTCGTACAGTATAGCCACACGGCTAGGCTGGTCAAGTAGAGCATACGCATGGATTTTTATAACTAGGGTAATGATAGGAGAAATAAAGAGAGAAATTAGGAACTTAACATCTCTGGTCAATGCATGCAGGATCCGAACGAGCCAGTAATGCTGTTCACCAAACCTTTGGTTCCAGAGAAACTGGCAGCTGCGGGCATTATGCCCCCAACCGGTGGTTCTTCTTCAATGGGTAATGGAAGAATCGGTAGGGGTGGACGTCTGGTGTTTGACAGATGGAATCCACTCCTGCATACTCCGATTTGAATATACAATCCACTCCGATTTGAAACATGAATTTTTGATGAAAAGATGTTATGAGTAAATACAAGTGGACTATTGCTCACTTCTCACAATAATATTACTCAATACGAATATCAATTACGAGAAGAGTTGTTCTTCTATGATATTAAAGTCTACATGTGAAATGTGAATTTTTTCACACTTTTCATGAACTGACTAGTGTATCTTTTCCTTTTTAGCAAAAGACTTGATTGTTTTATGATATAAATGCATTAAGGTTCATAAAATGAGGATCAATTTCAAATCATATAAAAATTTGTCTTACTGTCGAGAATATTACGGATGCAAATGATAACTCAAGCTATAGGAATTATGCATTGAATCTTTTATGGTAATCTTTTGAGAGGTATTCATACGTTGCTAGATATTCCTTGTTCTCTCCAATCTATCTCGAAAATCTTGGGATATGATTGAGTTTATTAGGGGTAGGCACGGGTCGGGATAGTTCGGGTTTTATATCGTCCCATGTTTTATCTTGTTTTTTTCAATGGCTCGGAACGGTTTGGTCCACAAGCTTATCTCCCTTTGCCCTTTAATATTCAGGATTAGGACAAAATCGAGCGGGTTTGGGTTGTTCTGCTTTGTCATTATCTAAAATAAAATATAAAAATAAAATACATAAGGGAAAGTAACTCACTTTGACTTGAAAAGTAATGAAAAAATAATATATTTATTTAAAATGTCTTAAAAAGCAAAAACAATTAGAAAATATGAAAAAATATTACAACATACGTGAAAAGTAAAGATTATAAACTTCATAAAGCTATGAGCCATAAATTGGGTTGGGTCGGGTTAGGACGGTATGGATTTTTAGGTGTTTCAGTCCAAGCCTATTTTTTCATAATATTTGAATCTAGATATTTTTTATCTCTATATTAGAAAGAATTAAAATTTTGATACTTTTTTGTGTTATATAATTATATAAATAAATAAACAAATGAATATATACATATATACGGGACAACAGGACGGAACGGTAAAATATTTATGTCTCCGGTCATTGTTCCATTTCGAAACGGTTCAGAACGGATTCGGGACAAAATTTTGTCATACTTAACAAAACGGGACATTGTAGAGATGGGACCAGGATATTTCGGGTCGGGACAACGGTTTCGGAATTCTTGCCCACTCATAGAGTTTATTATGATAGTCTTGTTTGGATGTTGGTTGTTTGTGTGGGTTGTTTTAAATGGTTGTTAAGAGAAAATTGTTTAGTAAATTTAACTGTTCATAAATAGCTGTTGTAGTGAAACATACTTAGTTGTTCGTAAATTAATTTGTTGTTTTAAATAGTTTAATCTTTTAAATTTTGATAAAAACATAAAAATTAATTCTTTAAAGTTATTTTTTAACACAGAATTTAAATGTTATTTTTTCTATATGTATTTATAACCATTTCACCTTAAAATAAAAAATAAAAGATTGGAATGAAGAAACATATCCATAATCTACGTAGATGAAGAAAAAAAATTGGAATGAAGAAAAACTGGAATGTAGAAAAAGAAAACTTCCACAAAGACTATGATGAAGATGAGGCATTTTCTTTTTGGGAAAAGCTGACTCAAGTCAAAAAATTAAATCGATACAAGGAGAAATTACCAATCAGTGAAGATTTTTTAATGTAAGATTCCTATCCATGTAATATGTGTTCGTTGAGCACATATTAGTTCAATTATTAAGTTCACTGACAATCCATCACTATACGCTGCAACCCATCACTTTTTCTAAATGAATAACAGTGTTTGTTGAACACACATTTGTTCTAAATGAATATGTGTTCGTTGAACACATATTACTTCAATTATTAACTTCACTGACTACCCATCACTATACACTGCAACCCATCACTTTTTCTAAATGAATAATTGTGTTTGTTGAACACGCATTTGTTCAATTAAGAAGTCAACATCCGTTTCATCCCCTCCATTAACCAATTTTTTAAATGATTCAATAAAAATGAATATGTATTTGATGGGTTGGCTATTTATTTAAAATATGAGAAAAATTTTAAGTTTATTATCCACAGAATATTTAAAATAACATGCACTAAATATTTCACAAAAACAACATACACTTCATATTTAAAAAAGATACACGGAATATTTAAAAACAACATACATTGAATATTAAAAAAACAACATACACTGAATATTTAAAAACAACATAAACTAAATATTTAAAAACAACATAAATTGAATATTTAAAAACAACATACACTAAATATTACGATGAAAAAAAACGATTACATGTAGCATGCGTAGTTGGTAGCACTTTGATCCTTCTATCGTAAATCTCATCCCATTTCTCCCTGGTAGCATTTTTGCTTGCGACGCCCAGAACTCGATATTTCTCCTTCTGGTCTTATTGGCGGCAATATCGGATATTCTGCATAATTAAAATTATTTGGGAATATCACAGGTGTAATATGACCGGTGTATGTAGCACATCTAATATCATCGCAAGCTATACAGGTGAGAGACACAATCATCCGCATGTTGCCTGACAGAATGGAACAAAGAGTGTACATGCACGCAGGGAATCACGTCTCCTTGTCATTGTCCACAAGTACACAACTCACTCCCTAAGTCGATCACAAAGGTATACATATGCCCTAGGTTAGAGAAGGAAGCCCTAGAGACAACGTATTGATTTCCGCCATAATGCACCGCTTGAAACATTTGTTTATCTTTTTCCCTTGTTTCAGAGATCTTTGAAATCTTTGGAGTAAATCGTAGATTTTTTCGTTGCTAATCAAAATAGGAGTTGCGTCGTGACTCAAACAAGAGCACCAATGATACGGTAGTATCGACTTGGGAAGGGCTCGGAGTGCCTTCAGACTCGTGCAAAAAGCTGGTGAAGGAGAAGAGGGAGAACGAGAGGGAGACAGGAGGTAGAAGAAGTGTCGTGCGGCTAGGAGAAGGGAATTTAGGGTTTGTATTATTGATAATTATCATGCATAACATCCGTCCCTATTTATAGTATGGAGACTCCCCGGCCTAAAAAAACTACGTTGTCTATCCTGATGGTTCAAAGAAAAACGACGGGGTAAAGAACCGTAAAGAAACCCCCGAATGAGCTTATATTTTGCTCACCTACTAAAAATCTACGTTACAATAATGAATGATAATAAAATAGAATATTACTCCATCTCGTATTCGCGTTGCCATCCTGGACGACGACGTGCGCGAGTACTTTTGTGCTCTGGTGGCTGCGACTCCGTAACACTTGATTTCTTGTTCGGGTCTTCTCAAAAGATAGGCTCGTCAAGAAATTAGATTAGTCCAAATCATGGTCATAACAATCAAAGGCTACCTCAACATCCATTTGCCAAATATGCATGATATCTATGAAACCTTTTCGTCCAAGCTATCAACTCTAGCAGTCGATCCATTTTCCTAATCGCCAAATTGGGCCAACTTGTGCATTTGGCTCGTGGGTCACACCTTGGGTCAATTTTGGTCATTTGGATTTGTTTTTTGGGCATGGACACATACATTGGGTTCCTTGCATTGAAAATCATCTCGGTACAATATAATCATCATAAGCTCTTTGATTTCTTGTACGGGTCTTCTCAAAGGATAAGCTCGTCAAAAAATTACAATAGTAAAAATCATGGTCATAACAATCAAAGGATACCTCAACAACCATTTACCAAATATGCCCGATATCTATGATACCTTTACCTCTAAGCTATCAACTCCAGGAGTCAATCTATTTTTCTAAAGTGTGTGAGTCTCGTGGCCAAATTAGGCCAACCTATTCAATTGGCTCATGGATCAAACCTTGGGTCAATTTTGGTCATTTGGGTTTCTTACTTGGGCATGGACACATACATTGTGTTTGTGACATTAAAAACCATCTCGATACAATATACTCATCATAAGCTCCTTTATTTCTTTGCGGGTCTTCTCAAAGGATTGGCTCATCAAGAAATTACAATAGTCAACATCATGGTCATAATAACAAACGGCTACTCAACAGCCATTTACCAAATATGCTCCCCTCCGGGGAGCGATCTCGGGAGAGCGTTCTGGGATGCCGACTCCTAAAAAGTAATGACAATTTTGGAAAGTCAACTCTATTTTTTCTCTTCCTTAAATATGCCCCAAAGTCAAAACGAGCAATTTAAAACGGGACGGAGGGAGTATAGTCTTAAGTCTTTTGGTCACCTAATTATAAATTTCTTTAAGTAATCTCAAAATAGTGTTTTCGAATAATGTATTTTCCAAAATCAGTGGTATTAAGCATTAGTTATCTATGTAGTACTTTATAGTTGAGATTTGTTCACTCAGTGTCTTCCGTATATGTTTGTTAAAAGATGTTCAATGGAGAAAATTTAGTTATTTTCAACATTTGAATGTAGATTAATTTTTCAAAATGACACTTTTGGATTAACCTTTTTCTAATTTAGGTCTCTGTTATAATAATTATAATTTTATCCCAATTGTGCATTTAGGGGCACCTTAATGTTTTGTGTCCCTCTATTAGCCACTCATGTTCACCCTAGTAAATTTTAAATGAGGATGACCTCGCCCCCGATCCCCCACTTTATATCTATGTAAAATTTTGATAAAATTCACATATGAAAAATACACGATTCGTTTTTTTTGCAAATATTGTTTTGTTGTATATATCCCATGCGAATAATTTTTTGTGTTTTTTTAAAAAGTAGTAGTTGTGACTTCAATGAAGTCAAAAGTGAAAAACCTATGATTATTTTAAAATATTTTTGTAATTTTTCTTTGTGAAAACCCTTGTAACTATATTTGTTTTGCTGTTTAAAAATAAATTCATATCAAGTGAAAAAAATTTGGATGTAAAATATATGTGATTATTTTTACGTGATAATTTTTTAAAAACTTATGTGAAAAATGTAACTATTATTTTAGAAGTTGATTTTAAAAATTTATACCATTATTTTAATTATTTTAGAAGTTGATTTTTTTAAAAGTTTTAATTAAAAAAATGAATTTTAGTTCTCACTTATTTGCATAAAATTTCATGTATGTTCTAATTTCTTCAACAATACTCCCTCTGTGTTTGGATTTGATCTTCTCAATTAACTTTTCTTGTCAATTTTGTATACTTTAATTTTCAATATATAGAACAAACATTGTCTTTCGATAGAAATACATTACCAATAATTTTTTTTTGAAACTAAGAAATCTCTTAATGTTTGGTAGCTCCTATTTTAGAGATAAAAAAATATGCATTTTTATTTTGGTATTTTCTCTATGTTTATTCTTATTCTGGTACTATACAGAGTATTAGTTTTCCAAATAATTATAGCGATAATGTACATAAGACATATACTCCGTATACAACTTACATTGGATCTACCCATATTTTGATTAAAATTGCCACGTCATTCAATCGTTAATAGGTGGTGGGTGATTTTTTAAAATGTTACCATGTAGATTCGCCACTTGTCGCACTTCTAGGAGATTAACTTTCTAATTTAATATATAAAGATTTAATTTTGAAACCCAAGATGAATTTCCATGTCATAAATGTGATGGAAGATGACATGTAAAAAATAGCCTAGTAGACTATTGGGACTGCGCGTGCCCTCACCCCAACCCCGCATTAGTATGATATTGTCCGCTCTGGGCCAAGCCCTCACGGATTTGTTTTGGGCACCTCCCAAAAGGCCTCATACTAATAGAGTTGGGTGGACCTACATATTTTGGTCCATTTTTTCATCTCCCTCCGGTGTGGGACTTGGAGGAATCCCCAACATAGACATTCCATATGTCAAATTTCTGGAAGGTTAACTCTTTTTTATATATAAAGATTGAATACGTGTAATTAACCGGCCGGACTATCACATCCCTATTCAAAAGCCCATGTGTAATAAAATTGTTATATCTCGTATAATACCAACGTAATTAAGTAAATTAACCATCCTTCAAAAAACAAGAATTGGATAACAACATGAATAGGAATAATGCATCCATAAATTTTACGGAGTATTTTTTTAAAAAAAAAAAAAAACTCCAATACCAGCTAGAATAGGAGTTGCCAACGAACACCTGAAGACAACAAAACTATGCCTTAACTTTAAATACGGTGAAATTTGCAAGATTTCTTCGCAAAACCTTCTCTATTTGCACATTATTAAACCAAAGCTCCTAGCTATATACACTTTTGATTTTATTCTTCAAAGCTGGGATTATATATATATTATGCATAAAACCCACCACCTACGAGCTTATCTCTTTTGGACCGCAGTACTATTCGCCCTTCACGTCGCGGTGAAGGGCGACAGTAGCGTATTATTGGGAACGCGAGTCGACGCGGTGGTAGCGGAAGACGGGTCGGGGCAATTCCGGACCATCGGCGAAGCTATCAAAGCCGCGCCGGAGAAGAGTGTGAGGAAGTTTGTGATATACGTGAAGGCGGGGGTTTATTATGAGAAGGTGGTGGTTGATGAGGAGAAGACGAACTTGACAATCATTGGTGCGGGAATGGATGCCACCATTGTTAGCGGCAACTTGAGCCATATGGGAGGATACGACCTAATCAACACTTCCACATTTGGTGAGTAATTATATTAATTCAAGGTTAATTAACCCTTGTTCATTATTCCCTATATTATTATTCACTATCATTATTAATTATAATTTCTGTCTTCAAGTATTTTGTCCAGTTTAAATTTTTTTCAGTCAATCATTTTTAACTTTTGATTTATAATTAAATAAAATATATATAGTATATTAATTAGATAAAATAATATTTTAAAAACATTTTATATAATAAATCTAATAAAATTATTTTTGTATCAATATCTAATATCATTTTTTATTTAATTTGAAATCAAAGTTTATCAATTTTGATCGAAAAAAGTCAAAAGTGGACAAATATTCCGGAACGGAGAGAGTACTTCTTCTGTCCAATAATTTTTTTATTCATTAATTTTCAGAATTTTCAATACACTATTTGAACATTAATATACTCCGTATTTATTTAAATATAAATATAAATTATAAGGTGTATATTTATATCAACTCTATATACTCTATTCCCTCCGTGCCGTAAAAAATTTTCAATTCAAACTTCTGGGTGATTTAAGAAAATTGTATTTTGGTATTTGACCTTGTAAAAATGTCCTTAAAGTTTTCTTTCTAAAAGTGATGTTTCATATCAATAGATATATATTTAAGAATAATGGAAAAGAGTAATTAAAAAACAAAAAGTAAGATGAGATGTGACAGATGTAATGTGAGAAAAATAAGGTTAAAGAGAGAAGATGTATAAGTTTGACCAAAGTGAAACGATACCAATTGAAACGAGTAGTGCTTGAGAAATATTAAAATGGATAGGACGTAAAATGTTGTTTAGGTATGTCGGGTTAGATTTAAGAAAAGCAAAAGTAAGTGTGTTTATTTAGCCCAAATTTAAATGTTTTATGAGATAAGCAAGATGTAAAAGTTGAAATGTTTTACTGAGCAAAGTTACAGAGTAGTATATACTATTTCTACTCTAGAATATTTTTATCGCTTTTGACTTTTTGCAATCAAATTAGAGTTGATCGGTCATTGAACATTAATTAAATAAAATGTATTTTACATATTAATCCAAAAAATAATTTATTACATTTATCTTATAAAATTTTAAAAATATTATTCTATGTTGTTAATATATCATGAAATTTTTTTAAACTATATTTCAAACGTATATTATGTGAAAAGTTAAAACTAGATAATACTTTGTCTATATTATGCTCTCAAAAGACTTTAGATCTATTGACCAAAAAAAGTTAAACAATGAGAAAAGTACAAGGATATTTCATCGGTCTCATAAAAATGTCTTTATTTTAGTTTTTGGAAAATATAAGAAAGAGGTATTTTTGTGTTAACTTTCCAAAAATACCATTGATGTGATGGGTAAAGTAAGATATGATAGACAGATTATTAGTGAAAATGTATGATTGATAGGTAGGTGAAGAATTAGGAAAAAAAGACTAAAATAGGAGTAAAACATCAAAATTATACCAAAATAGGAGTTCCATATTTTTATTCTTAAAATAGGAGTTAAAATATATTTGAGTAAATTCTATAATTGGTCCTTTATAACAGGGGGTTTCCCTATTTGGTCCTTTATTATCAAATATTACCCAAGTGGTCTTTCTTTTATGGGTACCTTTCCACAAATAGTCCTTTTTTTGATCTTCTATCATGTTGGTTTTAATTTGAGGGCTAAAAGTGTAATTTCACAATGATAATATATCTATTTTGTCATACACAATTCCAAAGGCTGTTCCGTTTGCGTCGTTTGTGAATTACAGTCGCTTTTTACGACAACTATAGTCTACAAATGTGATCTTTCGTCAGAATCCTAGCCCACAATCATAGTCATTATTTTTGTGTTATCCGCTTAACCAATATCAGAACACGTCACTAGACATAATGTTGACGTCAAATTATATTTTTAGCCTTTAAATTAACACCAACACGACAGAAGATCAAAAAAGAACCATTCGTGGAAAGGTACCCTTTAAAAAAGGACTACGGGGTTAATATTTGATAATAGAGGACTAAATATGAAAACCCCCCTATTATAAAGGACCAATTATAGAATTTACTCAATATATTTATATTATCAATCATGACCATGTACATTACATAAAATACACATGTACAGTGCCACATTATTATTGTGCAAACTCTTATTGTGGAATAAAAACATGTAATTCCTATTTTGGTACTTTTTCTATATTTTAGTTTTATCTAGGGTTATTTTTTAAGAATTAGTTGGGATAAAGTAGTTTTTTAATTGAAAGAGAAATAATTTTGTGAGACAAAAAAAGGAGAAGAGTTTTTGGGAGAGTTCAGTTCCTAAATTTAGGGCATACTCGGTCCGTCCCTAAATCTTTACCACATTTCTAAAAACGAGACAAAATATAAAGTTTTTTTAATTCAGTTTATTTAAATATTGATATAAAAATAAAAAATAAAATTTATATATTTAAAAACTACATGAAAACTTATTCAAAATAAGAGCTGTAAAAAAATATTTTATTTTATCAAATAACTAATGAAAACATACAAATGAACAAAAATTTGGGTGACAATTGAAAAAATAAATACTCCATATGACAAACATTTTTAGATAAAATATAATAGTCCATTTACTACTCCATCTATTCATCATTAGATTCTTTATTTTTAATTCGTTTATGTTGCATGCAGCCGTGTTTGCGAAGGACTTCACCGCCTACGACATTGGATTCCACAACACGGCCGGACCCGCCATGGGGCAAGCGGTGGCCCTAGCGGTGGCCGGCGACCGGGGGGCCTTCTACCGGTGCAAAATATCGGGATACCAGGACACCCTTTTCGCCCAATCAAACCGCCAATACTTCCGGGACTGCGCCATCTACGGCACCGTAGACTTCATCTTCGGCGACTCCGCAGCGGTGTTCCAGAACTGCGCCATCCGGCCCCGGAAGCCCCTCCCGGGGCAGTTCAACGCCATCACCGCCCAGGGCCGCCTCGAGCCCGGCGGCAAGTCCGGGTTCTCTTTCCAGAACTGCGACGTGTCCCCCGCGGAGGATCTCGCCGGAGTCAGGACGTTCTTGGGACGGCCGTGGAAGAGTCACTGCAGAGTGGTCTTCTCGAACACTTACATGGCCAGCTTCATTGACCGGAGAGGTTGGGCGGCTTGGTCGGGGGACGACGACTCGCCGCCGCCCCCGGACACCATTTACTATGCCGAGTTCGGCAACTACGGCCCGGGGGCGGATACAGCGAGTCGAGTCCGTTGGAAGGGGTTGCATTTAGGGGCAAGTGGGAGTACAGAGGCAAGAACGTTTAGTGCTGATAGTTTTATTGAAGCAAGCTCTTGGATTCTTCCAGAGCCCACTAGAGTGATTACCGTATTAAACCCTCCTTCAACCGCAGGAGAACCAGTTGAGGGGGAGGAGAATGGGGTTGGGCCGGAACCGGAGGGGAGGGAACGTGAACCGGAAGTGAAGGAGAGAGGAATTGCACCGGAACTGTTAAGGAATGGAATGGAACCCGAACCGGAGAATGGAGTCGGATCTGAACCGGCAGGAGAACCAATAGTTGCCCCGGAACCGGCGGTGAAAGGAAATGCACCTGAACCGGCTGAGAATGTAATTAGTGCGCCAAAATCATCCAAATATGGTTCGGAAGCGGGGAATGGAATTGGTGTCATTGGAATGTGTTGCGGAAACAAGCCTTTGAATGTAGTTTTACTTCTATTTTGTTTGTGGGTTTCTAAAGATACATTTTGATACCGGGGGTACACATTTTAATATTCTGGTACTTTTTTTGTAACTAAAGACACATTTTGATAATGTTGGTCAATTGTATGTAAAAAAAGTAGTATATATTTAGCTTTAATATAAATTTATTATAAATTATAAAGGTAGTATATATTTAGTTATATACTTCTTCCGTTTGATAAAGATGTTCCTAATTTGATTTTTAAAAAATTTAAAAGAGGAATATATTTGTGTTGACTATCGAAAATACCCTTGATATGATGAATAAAAGTAAGAAGTGATGGGTAGATTAATACTCCCTCCGTCCCCCATAGATCTTCTCAATAGCCCTTTTTCTTTGTCCACAATAGATCTTCTCATTTCATTTTTTAATAATTAAAATACCATAACTACCCCCACTTACTTTATTTATTACACCTCACCCACCTCATTTAATACACTCCACCCATATTTCATTAAGGGTATTATGGTAAACTTTCACCTTTTTTCAACTCTCCTTAAAAACCACCAAAAGTCAAAATGAGAAGATTTTAGGAGGACGGAGGGAGTAGTAAAAAAATATGATGTGATAGGTAGCTTAAAAATTACTCCTCCGTTCGGAAAAAATCTTCTCACTCTACCTTTTTTCCCTCCGGAAATAATCTTCACATTCTACTTGTTTATACTAATTCTTCCTAAATTACCCCCCTCTTTTCTTTTTCTCTTCTCTCCTCTTTCTATCCCATACAGTTTCTCCTCTTCCACTTTTTCTTCTTCTTTTTTCGTTTCTTCTTTCTCCTCCTCTTCTTCACGTTTCCCCCTTCATCTTTGCTCTTCTTTATCACCTCCTCTTATTTCTCTTCCATCTCTCTTCTAGATCCGAGCATGGCAGCGATGGTGGCAACGGTGATGGTGGCGAAGGCGGTGGTGTTAGAGGGCGGGGATGATGGTGAGTCTAGATCTCCACTTCTTCCTTTTCTTCTTCTTCTTTTCTTTCTCTTCCTTCTTTCTATTATAGGGTGGCGTCGATGGTAGCAGGGGCGGACCTAGACAACCTAAAGAGTGGTGTCAAAAACATTAAAAGCTAGAGAATAACTATAAAATATGAAATATTATTAATATTAAACCATACCGCAAAAGATAATATTACAATAGTATTACAAAATCATTCTTGAAAATATCATTTCTTGAAAATATTGCATGATATCGTCATCTTTGATATTATCAAAAGTTTCACTCTCTAAATAAGTTAACATACAAGCAAGAAACCACTCATTCCCAATTTGATTGTGCAATTTATCTTTGACCAAATTCATTGCTGAAAACACGCGTTCCACGCTCGCCCTTGCAACTAGTAAGATCAAAGCCAATTTCACCAACAAATAAACTATGGGATAAACAATATGTTTTTGCTTCTCAACCATTTTTTGAGCAAGATCCCCAATTCCCTTCAAATTAGCAAAACTTTCATCACTTTTCACATCAAGAATAAAAGTTTCAAGAGAAGAGGATAAGAAAGAAAGATCGAAAAACTCATCCAATTACATCGGATAAAATCTAGCAAACTCAACCAACTTCTCCATGTCAAATGCAAGAAATGAATTCCTTGGATTAAGGCAACCGAAGCAGTCAATTAACTTTGTGTTGACATTGTCAAAATGATCATCCAATTCAAGAAGTTGTTAGCCAATCACATTATCAAACAACTTCATCTTCAAATACTCCCAAAATTTAAAAGTAGATGCATTTCGCATATATCTTCCTTCTAGATGATAAAAGTCTCCCATATTTGGAATATGAATATCATGCTTCTTACATAACTTCATTGTCATATCAAGTATGTTGTCAAAACCAACACTCTTCAAGTTTCTCAAACTAACTTTCGCAATTCTCACTAGAGCAATTGCATTTGCAAGATCCTGCCCCTTTCTTTGCAATGCTTGTGACAAATCATAAGTAACCCCCGAGACTTTCTCCATCAAATGCAAATTGAGTATAAATTCCAAATCATCAATGAAATACAAAATGGGAGATGCTTCTATTCTTATCGCATAATTTTTAGGATCATCTTGAATGATATTCACCAAAGAAACTATTGGAGAAAACAATGTAATTACACTCACAATTGTTCCATAGTGAGAGCCCCAACGCGTATCACCCGGTCCTCTCAAAGTAGTTTCTTGATTTGAACCTTTTTCAACCAAATCACTACAAGCAATTCTTTCAAGTATCAATTCGTATTGCTTTTCACGATGTCTTCAAACGGATGTAGTAATCTCTTCTTGCTTGGTCTGAAATATTCATAAGAGTAATGTCTATATGTTTTTCTCTACGGATCAAATCTTGTCCAGCTTGGAAACATTGATTATGAATACTATTATGTTCTCCCGCAAGATCTCTTAATCTACCTTTCTTGTTTCAATGGTTAAATCCTTTCCCAACAAGAACATCACCCCCGAAGCAAGTTCTACCAAATTCCATACGAAAAGGTAGAAATACAAACAGTAACAAGAATCTTTAGATTCACTGTACTCTAACCATCCCTTGAATTCCTCCTCATACCAATCTGGATTAAATCTACGCATGCTAGCATACTTGAATATATGTTTGCGTAAATTGTGTAAGCACAGGTTGTGTTGGACCCTTAAGTAAATACTTTCTCTGAATATTTTTTCTCTTAACAAGATTCATTGTCAAAAAATTAATTGGAAGTCTTTTTCCTGGATCTGCTACAAGAATTGTCCTGTCAACTTCATTAGGTATTTCTTAAGTTGGATGTTGGTTTTGAGCTTCTTCAATTGGTGATGTGGCTTGAGTATTTTCTATTGCAGCTTGTGGTTGAACTTCAAGTGCAGGTTGGGTCTCTTGTTCTTGTACAAGTGTGGGTTGTAATTTTTTATAGTAAGATTCTAAACCTATCATAAAAAAACAATAAATATTATTATTATTATTATTATTATATATTATCTAAAATTGCACTTCATAAACACTCTGCTCTCTATGTCTTTGTACTTTATTAAAATAAAAATTAATGTTTATAAACCTTATATGATACCTTTCATTCTCAATTGAATTGCAGAAATTGAACTCCTGATTATATAGATCAATCAAACACAATAACACCTACATAATTGAAAAAAATGATTAAGGCGGTCAATGATCAAAAAATACATTAGGCCACTCTACAGATTGAGACAGTCAATTCATAAGCAATCAAAAAGTACAATAGATAGCTCTAAACTAAAAATAAGCAAAAGAAATTAACTTTACAAAAAAAATACCTAGCTCTAAACTACTCATTGAGGGAATCAATTCATAGCTCAATAGATATCTCAAAACTACTGAGGCAGTCAATTCATAAGCAATCAAAAAATACAATAGATATGCCCATGTCAGAATTTCACTTTACAAAAAATAATAATTTTGAAGCAATCCAAAAAAACCAGCAAAAAGATAGCTCTAAACTAAAAATAACAAATATATTGCACAATTTTTTTAAAAAAAATCTGTAAATTTAAAATGACTTACATGCACAAACTCACAGATCCGAAATTGGGCGACAAAACTGTAGGATTGGAGAGGAACCGTGGAGTTAGCGGTTGAGATCGGCGATGGACCGCAAGGATTCGTAGGACGACAAGAGAGTGGGAGAGTCGGCTGGATTAGAAGGAGATTTGGAGAGCCGCCTGGATCACAAGGAGAGTGGGAGAGCCGGCGAGGAAGATGATTGCTTATACGACATCCAAAACGATGACATTTTGGAATATGCCCAAAACGATCAAAACGACATCGTTTTGATTAATTTTTTTTAAACCCAACGGTGTCACTTGACACCACCAGACCCCTGCTGCGTCTGCCACTAGATGGTAGGGTGGCGGCAATGGTGAGGTTGCGTCGATGGTAGGTCTAGATCTGCAATCTTCTTCTTTCTCATCATTCTTTCTTTAAGATCTAATGGTAGGGCTATGGCCATGATGGTGGGACTAGCGCGATTGTGGCGGAGGGGGCTGGTGCAGATGGTCGGAGAATGGATCGATGGTGGAGCTGGCGGCAACGGCGGGGCTGGCGGCCAGGAGGGGAGTGGCTACGGTGGAGGCGGTGGTGGGGGGACTTGATGGTGGCAAGGCTGGGAAAGGAAGGATAGGGAGGGTATTTTAGACAAATTACACTCATAGTAAACTCTTCATAAAAATAAAGGAAAATCAAAGTGGGAAATTTATTCCCGGACAGAGAGAGTAGGGGCAGAAGTAATTTTTTAATAGAAAAGGGAAAGATTTTATTGGACAAGAAAAAAGGGAAAATGGAAAGAGTTTTTGGAACGGTGGGAGTATAAATTGATGTAGAATTAACAAATTCATTCCATATTAGGTCCAAAAGAATAGAATATACTAAACTCTTAAGGTTTGATCCTCCTATTATTGAGTTAATTATAAGTTAGCAAGTTTTTATTAACAAAACTTTTGAATTATAAAGGATACAATTTAATAGTTTATTACTGATTATATCCCAAACTCTTTGCAAATTGTGCAGTTTACTCCTAAATATTAAAAAGTGTACCAAATACCTCTAAACAATTTAAACATTGCACGGTTGGTCCCTTTTAATATATACAAAGAAAATAATATTAAAAATTTGTTATAAAGACTAAAATGCCCTCTCATTTCTTCTCGACACATATTAAAAACCAGATCCACATTAAAAATGCACCGGCAACACTCTCTCTGCTTGCTTCCCGGTGGCAGCATCCACAAACTCCCTTTCATAGAAAAATAGAGATTCCGGCGATGATGGGCCACCTGTCGGAAAGCCCACGGAGACTGAGGTATCTAACTTGAGCATATGAGAGGGGGGCATTTTAGACTTTACACTTATTTTTTAATATTATTTGTTTGGTATATATTAAAAGGGGCTTATCGTGTAACGTTTTAAATTGTTCAGGGGTATTTGGTACACTTTTTAATATTCATGGGTAAACCATGCAATTTCAAAGAGTTCATTTGGAGTATTTGTTTATTTGCTACACACAGGTAAACAAAATAAAGAATGATGTGGTTGATCCTGGCGGTAAATGGGGACACGATATGTTAGATGAATGTGTGATGGTTTTGAACTGTTCAATAATTATTTCAGAAATGAATTAATGATTGTGATGTAAAATTATTTATTAATCTTTCGTAATTTGATAAACTCGATTACTGTTTTTAAATATTTTATGATGATGAAATAAAGTTTCAACTGTTGAAATGTTTTAGATTTTACGATTACAAAGTTTATACTAGACTTGATCAAAGTGCAGGCCGGGCTGAGACACTACTTTATGAATATTTTCTAGGCCCGAGCCCAGCCCGGCTCTAATAACGGGCCTAACAATTGAAGCCCAAGCCCGGCCCGCATGCTTACTCGCGGGCTTCAGGCCGGCCTGGCCCGACCAACAAAAACTTCTAAATAATTGAAAAATAATGTTTTTTTAAAAAAGTAACAAGTTAATATATTAGATATTTGATATAAAAACTATTATGAGTAAATGAAAGAAAAATTGATATATAAATATATTTTGTTTGATATTGCTACTATGTATGGAGTACAAAATATTATCTATTGGAATGTCATAATCAATGTGTGATACGTTGCAAACAATACGGAGTAGTAAAGATGTATTCATTTTATTATATATACCTATAGTTTATTTTTTCTCTCCATAGAAGTATGTATGTGTGTTTATAATAATTTGAAATAGGTTTGTTTATTATTATTATTATTAATGTTGTTATTTTTTATTTTATTATAATTATATTAATAATAAATATGTAATTTATTCGGGCCGGCCCAGCCCATGGGCTTGAGCATAAACTCGAGCCCGGCCCTAAAATATTCGGGCCGCCATTTATAAGGCCCAAGCCCGGCCCGTACCCTAAAATGTCAAGCCCAAGCCCGCTATTTTGCGGGCGGGCTTTTGCTGGCGGGTCGGATACCCGGGCCTGTGATCGGGTCTAGTTTATACTTTAGTCCGAAAGGGGCTGCAGATCTGAGCGAATTACAATCCCGCTGGAGCTTGAGCCATATCGCTGGACTCACGTCTCCACCTTCATCGTGCCTTCTGTCATCGTCTTTGTCCAGCCGCACTTAGGGTCCGAACCCTCGGTCGGCTCTCTGTTTTCAATCGGCCTCTCCCCGTATCTTTTTATGATGCAAGTCTTCTTCTTTATTTAAAAAAGTAATAATTTCAATTTTAAAAAGATTAAAAACATATAGAATGATAGATAACGAGTCGATATCTGAAAGCTAAGATTTGTTTTTCAATTCATACAATATCAAACTATTAATAACTCCAAAAGAATAACGCTTATAGTAGTAATAAACATGTTTACAAGAATAATAATGAAAGAATATTAAAACAGAATAATACAATACGAAACACTCCATATATGGTAAGATGAAGTAAAAAAATAACAGTAGGCATTTGACATTTTTCATAAATAATTTTGAACGATTCGACCTGCGATAATTATTTTTAAATTTTTATATCACGGTTCCACCCAATTTGATATCAGTTCAATTTCAATTTTGGGATGAAAAAATCAATCTCATTTAAAAAAACTTTAAACGATTCAATAGTCTTATAGTCCAATATGGTACGATATTACTTTGGTTTATGGGGCATGCTAGGGGTAAACCAAAATAAGGTATCTCATTTATACATCAGATAAACAAGTGTCTGTGTTTTACAATATTAAATGTCTGTGTTTACCTCGTCTTGGTGTACTCTAGATTTATTGGTATTTATTTGTGGGGCACCTTGACATTATCACACATATTGACTCATAGTTTTTCGGACTTTTACCCTCACATATTCACTCACATTTTGACCGACGAGGAGGCAGGCAAATATTTGCACAGTGCACTCATCTCCTCATCCAGGGGCCGGCCAGTTCATTGAGAGCTATCATCCTTGTTTTCTGGCTCGTCTTCTCCGCGGCTGGGTGCGAATCTCGTTTCCTTCCTAACTCTTTTTTCGTCTTTTTTCACCTGACTTCACTCCCTTCTCTGTTCGCGTCTGTGCACCTGTTTTCTCTTTAATTCTCCCCTTCTTATGACTTATGACTACTTCTCTATTCTAATTCGTGTTCATCTGAACGCTTTTGTTCCTTTTAAGATTTTTCGGGATCTTTTTTTCGATGTTTTACAGGAACTAGCGAGGCTGCATTTTGCCGATGTAGTGCAAATTGGGTTGGGAAGCAGTGGTCCTCGAAATCATCAGGTGAGTTTCGTGCCAATTTCGTGAATCTGTTTCCGTTCCTGTTCGTGTTTTTTGGGTGTAAAAACCTAATCTTTGTTTGCATGAAGGAGTGATTAGTTATCTTCCCTCAATTCACCAATTTCTATTTAGACAGCGGCTGATTTCACCTCCTAATTACAACGATTACTACACAGCTTTTTGATTACTCCCTCAATTCACCAATTTCGATTGTGGTAGTGGCCTATTTCACTTCCTATCTCTGTCTCCAACTCCTGTCCCCAGGAACTGCGCCCACTTTTCAAATCTGGACGACAGCTCCTTCTCTAGTAGAGGCTGAGGCGGCGGTCCCAGTCCCAGTTGACAAAATTTCAATTTTCTATGTAACCGTGTCGGACTGTCGGGGTAAAAAAATGTGGAACCTTTTTCATGAGACAAATGACTTGTTAAATATGAAGCTCTTTCAAGGCCAACCACTAACTCTCTAATTCCTTTTTCTGATATTGCAATGCAGGTTGTTCTTATTAATTTCTGGTACTCATTGGGGAGCTTGATATTTTTTCTTTAGGATTACCTCACAACATGGCAGACCCATTTCTTGTAATTGATACTTTGAGTTCATTGTTCCATTATTCAACTAGACGTTCTTTAAGAAGATGATAGTTAATCCTTCTCATCTCTGCAGACCAAAGATCCATCAGTAGATGATATTGATGGCATTGACTGGACTTCCGAAGATGAACGAGAAATTGAGGACATACCTGCAATGCGAGCGGCCACTGCTAACATTGAGGTACACCGTAAAAGCTTTTAGTGATGGAAATCTATTCATTTGTGACATAAACTCTCTCTGTCATTCAACTTTTACTTTGATTGGAAAACTATAAATGCTCCTTTATTTATTCTGAGAATTTCAAGCTGTCCGCGATCTTGGTTACCTACTCTGTACAAATTGCAATTTAACTTTTAATCTTCTTCAAAGTTGTCAGTTATTGGGAGGACTAATACATAAAATGTTTTTGGTATTATTGTTTAATATGAACATTATGGTTGTGCTTTTTTTTGAAGCTTTAACTGCTTCTTTAGAATTCACAAAATGAAGCAGATGTTCTATCATCAATGTGGTAGTTTTGACAGAAGGAATACTTGAAACGGATTGGTTCATGTGACATTGCCATACAATGTCATAGCATGACCCGAGCCTCCTACGGTGCTCCGTTCAAAAAGTTGATGGTTCCTACTCCCCTAAACCTTCCCCTGCACAGTAGTTACTATAGCCAATCGGCGAATGGGGGGGGGGAGTTGCAGGGGGGTGGGGGTTTAGGGGGGTTAGCGGTGGTAGGAACCATCAATTTTGAATGGAGCACCGTAGGAGGTTCGGGTCATGTTATGTCATTGGGTTCAATGTCATTTGAACCGCGCCGTACTTAAAATAAGTATCCTAGATATTTGTCTTAAACTCTTTATTCTTAAGAACATGGAAACAAACAAACAAATGACAAACCTAGTATAATTTTAACACAGGAAAGAATATTAATCATATGACCTTAGCAATTCCTGTTGGAAAAGGTCTCAACTAATAGCCAAAACCAATTAAATATATGTAATATTTAGTTAAATTTCACTTCATATGAGCCATGAAGCGTGAAAATTGATCACCAGATAAATGGTAAATGACATGTCACATTGTACCTACTCACAAGTGAATATAAGAATGAGTAAGTTAATACATTATGTTTCCCCCTGTCCACTTGTTTTTCTCATTGTTCATCATCATGATCAACCCTAATCCCAACTATGATGGGGTCAGTGTCCTTTTTGTTAATGTAGTAATAGTTTTCCATGTCTTTGAAGGCAAGCTCATCATCAGTTAGTCCATGCTCCAAGTTGATTCAGAATTTTGTTGGGATGGGATTTTCTAGAGAATTAGTTGAAAAAGCCATTGAACAAAGTGGTATATGTTCATTTTGTAGCCTTGAGAAATAATTTATACTTTTGAGAATATCATTTGATCTTTTTCTTTCAATGCACAGGAGAAGACTCGGAGTCTATATTAGAAACTCTTCTAACACTCTCGGTTAGTAATTTCCCCTCATTCTAGGAAGCTTCTATTCATTCTGTTTTGGCCATACATTATTGATGCAAAATAAATAGAAAGCTCAATTTCTCATAAAACATAATCTCTGTTTAGGTTGTTAGAAAATGATTTTTTTAAATACTTATTAAGTTTAGATTTATACTGTATTTGTGATGATTCTTTGCTTGTAGTGGTCATACTGAATAGTTGCAGGATAAGATGTTTCATGTTGCTGATGCATTTTACATTATAATTACATGAAAAGTATAAAAGAGCAATTATGTAGAATATTTAGGAATATGGCTGATTGAGTTCCTCAAATATTGCTCTTTGATGTTATTCTAAGGCCTTCATTTGCTTATTTTAGGAAGTGATTTGTGTGGACTTCTCCCTTTCATTAGTCTAGGTATATTAATGCATGTAAAGCTTATTATAAAATGGAGTTTTTCTTTGCTAGTAAAACCTGCAAGCAAGAACTTAGAATAAATAAAGAAGTTAATCTCCCTAAATTCCAAAGGTGAAGGAAAACTTGTAAAAAATCATTGTCCTCTTCTTTATCCTTCTAATCCCTTTCTATGACTCGAATAATCCTGGTACATAACATTTGATTTTTGTTGCCGCCCTTATTAGAAATATGACACTTACCAATGATGGCCACTCACCCCTCACCTGGATAGAGTCATAGAGAAGATGTATGACTTCTATCTACTAAGAATTTACGGAAGTGCTACTTCCTTCTAAACTTAAAATCTTATGGAACTATGGAAGTGCTCTGATCCCCTCCAAAGGGAAGGAAATCTTCTAAACATTATATTACTTCCTCTCTTCTATCCTTATAATTCATTCCTGTATGTGAAGAATCCCAGTTCATAGCAGTCTCACTCTTTGTTTGCTGGCAGTTAGGTTTGTATATTTGTATAGCTTATTATTCATGTACTTCCTGTAGAGGTTTACTCTAATCATTAGCTTATTTAGGAAACAGAATGCATGACATTTTAGGTCCAGACTTTAGCTGAGTCGGCGAGCCAATTTGACTTCAGATACAGGGTATAGTTTGGGAGATCGCTGCTGCAGCTTACATAAATTTGTTTTGTGAATGGATTAGCTGCCAGTAGCAGTTTGGTTATTCTTCTTTGCAATCTTCATACTTTTGTCTTGATGTTATTGTGTACTCTAAACTTAAAGGTTGAAAGCTATATCATATTATCATCTCGCATTTGATTACATCGATTTTGGTAATGGGGTCATCTTTTCTATATTTCATATAATTGCCTTCCACATTGTTTCAAGTCTGCTCTATTGAGGACTTCAACTCTTGTACATATGACTGATTAATATGTTTTCACCGAAATAGAGCATTGTGCTAATTAATGTATGTCTTTGCTAGACTAGATGAGAATCGATCTATGCGTGATCTAGTTTACTTTGCGGCATGGCAACTTTTTTATTACTCCCTCCACCCCCTTTCTGTCTTCTTCTTTGCCTTTTTGGGCCATCTCGAATTAATCTTCCCCTTTCCTCAAGGAAAGAGTTCTATGGTTCATATTGATTCTTGCATTTTTGAAAAAGTCTCTTCATTTTCTTAAATGTCATTAAAAAAACAATTGAGAACAAAAAAGGGACAGAGGGAGTAGCTTCTTGTGGTACCTGTAATCATTTGATAACAAGCACATTGCTTATATTTGTATTAATTTAATAGCTACATTACTTTCCGAGTATGCACTTATGTTAATGATTATGGAAACAAAACTTTTTCGTACATTCTTGTGTTCTTTTGCAGAAATAATTCTCAAGTCTTAGTATTGGCCAAACTTGATTATTGTGAAAGTTTTCTTATTCTGTGTCTGTATTTTTACTCTTACTGTTCAGGTTCTTGAGACTTCTCCTTCTGAACAACCATATGATAGCTGTCCTCAAGAACAACCTTGTGTCAATGAAAATGATAGCTCTTCAGGATATGATGAGAATATTTTTGAGGATTTCTCCGATACCAATAGTTGGTCTGAAGAAGATGTGGTATGTTTTTCTTCAGGTTTATACAGTTCTTTTAAATGCTACTCATTCCTAATGATGAAATGTCTACCTTTACCATATGCTGAACTTATTAATGCTACTACCTCCGCCCCAAAAAAAATTCCACTTTGGAGAAAAGTGATATTTAAGGTAGGTGTAATTTGGGTGTTATTTTCCTACTTTACCCTTACCTTAAAGGTGAGAGTAGGATGCGATTGGTAGATTAGTAATGAATAATATGATGTGATAGGTAGGTTAATAATTGATAGAGAGAAATAGGTCATCTTAATTGAAAGAGGAGGAGTTTTTTGGGACGGATGAAAAATGAAAGAGGAAAGGTTTTTGGGACGGAGGGAGTATAATTTTGGTCAAACACTATATCTGTAGTTGGGAATTGTTTACCTTTTCTTGCTTTGACCCAGATGAAACACAACATGCCAAATATGTATTTGAAATTGACATGTTCATATAAATCAAATTATCGGTATTATTCTCAATGTCGAGTTAGGTATGAATTTTTTACTTTACTCTCAAATGTAAATAGCAAATACAGTCTTGTCTCATTCTTCAATATGGTGATGACGTAATGTTATGAACTTATTTAATCTAAGTGAAGAAGTAGATCATTGATTGGTAAACTTACCATGAGAAAACAAAAGGAACTTACTGAAAAAATTATACCAATATGGAATGTGAATAAATAGATCGGAGCATGCATCAATCTACGGGATAGTGAGGGAAGGTGCATACACTGGAGGAAAAAACGGAAGCATATTTGGGCCCTTTGAGTATGGGAACTTTTAGTTATAGTTTTTATGGTGGACCACATGCAGCTATGGTTTGCGTCATTTTCGATGAATGCTATGGTTAAGTAGGGTTGCAAAAAGTGTTTTGCTGTGTCTATCCATTTCAGAATGGAATTTTGAATCATTTTTGTGGTTCTAAGAAACTGTGCTATTACTCAACTGACTAATATTGCTTTCAGGAAGACATGGTTTCCATGTCTGACAAGGAGAGAACTCTGTTGTTTCTCACGAAGATGGGATACCCTGCAGAGGAGGCTACAGTGGCCATGGACCGATGTGGTATGTACTATGTACAAAAAATATTTAATATGCTTCTCTTTTATGGAGTGTTTGATTATGCTATGCAGAATTGCAGATTATCATATTGAACTTGAAATTTCACTAGCAGAAGAAATTTGTATACATCTTTAGCTATTTGGATTTCTCTCGCTGTAATGCCTGCTTTCTTTTTGGCAAATATTTGTACACAAAATTGTCTTTTCAATTTTCTTTGCTTTTCACAAACTTCCTCTCATTTTACTTGTACTGAGTCTCAAACCTTTAGGCTCTAACGTCTTCCTCCACATTTCTAACTAACACCCCCCCTCCCGTCCCATCTATCAAAAGAATATAATCAACAAACAACATACACCAAGGTAAATCATCTTGTTCAGCATATTCAGCTCATCTTTAACTGTCACAAAAAGGAATGGACATAAAGCCGATCTTTGATGTACTCTGATAGTAATAGGAAACTCTCGTCATATTATATTCTTGTACTACTTATTATGTTTGTGCTTAGTCCTTCATACATTTCATTCACAACGCTTATATTCTTTTTGGAAATCCATTTCTTTTTCAACACCCACCATAATATGTCTCAAGGTATTCTATCATACTTGGTGTGTTCTTGTTGCTGTTGTACTCTATCATACACTTTTTCGAAATCAATAAATACTACGTTCAATTCTAAATCCTTCGTTTATACTAGGGGAAGTACTTTGTATATGAAAACTAATTTATTAGGTGTGTTGTATTACTATTCCCTCTATGCCAAAATGACTATTCTGATGCGGGTTAGGATGTTTGAGTGATGCTATTTTCAATTCAATTTATTTGAAAATTAGTGTAAAATTAAAAAATAAAATATATTTACTAAAATCTACATTAAAGGTTCTAGAACATAAGATGTGACAAGACTGTAGTGCTTTATCAAATGACTAATCAAGGTAAGCAAAGAAATGTAAATTTGACCATGTGAATAGTAAACAAGAAATTATTTTTGGGATGGAGGGAGTAGTTTTCTTTCCATTAATGTTCTTGTGATTCTTCCATTGAGATTCATTTTCTCTAATGTCTTTCTGTGCTTTATGAGTTATTGTTTATTATCATTAATTAAATTATAATCACATTGTAGGGCCAGAAGCCACAATTGAGGAATTGACAGATTTCATGTGTGCTGCTGAAATGGCAAGATCAGAATCTACATATTGGCAAGAAGATGATATCAAAGTATGTTTCTTTTCAACTTTAAATCAAGAATCCAGTAATCCATCTCGATGTTTCATTTCAACTAAAGTTCTTTGAATGAAATTCTATCTCTTTTTCCAGCTGTATTTTTTACCCCCTTGGTTGCATTAAGAAAGTGAAAACTGTGTCATTGAAATTTACGCATAGAAAAAATCAATATGAACCACATAATGCTTTCTACAAATTGAAATGAGCAAATTTATTTGGGATGAAGGGAGTAGTTAATTATCAGTAACAGATCATTTGCCATTTTTACTGTTGCAGCCAAAGTTGAAGAGCTTGATAGGTGAAAATGGTAAACATAAGAGGAAAATGTATTCCTATGAGATGTATAAGAAGAAGAAGCAAAGGGGTATGTTTGATGAAGAGGTTGAGACGATTCGGCTGCCAAAACCAATGGTGGGGTTTGGGGTGCCAACAGAGATATGCCCACAATTTCAAGGAAGAACTCTTCCAGAGCAAGCACTTGGGCCTCCCTACTTCTATTATGAGAATGTTGCACTAGCTCCAAAAGGTGTTTGGGACACTATCTCTCGATTTTTGTATGATGTTGAACCAGAGTTTGTGGACTCAAAGTACTTTTGTGCTGCTGCACGGAAAAGGGGTTACATTCATAATCTGCCAGTTGAGAATCGGTTTCCTCTACTTCCCATTCCTCCACGCACCATACATGAAGCGTTGCCGTTAACCAAGAAGTGGTGGCCCTCATGGGATACTCGCACGAAGCTCAATTGCTTACAAACTGCTATCGGAAGTGCTAGACTCTCTGATCGCATTCGCAAGGCTGTGGAAGCCTATGAAGGCGAGCCGCCTTTGAGGGTGCAAAAGTATGTACTTGACGAGTGTAGGAAATGGAATTTAGTGTGGGTGGGAAGAAACAAGGCTGCCCCTCTTGAACCGGATGAAATTGAATATCTCCTTGGCTTCCCAAAGAACCATACAAGAGGCGGTGGGATAAGTAGGACTGACAGATACAAGTCGCTTGGCAACTCTTTCCAAGTGAGTATTCATTTCTTCATCCTAATACTTCTAAGCTTGTACATCCGTCCAAAAAAAGTATTGTTACAAAGATTTTTTTTCTCAAATAATGATTCTGTTTTTTAAAGTAAGTATTCTTTTTAAGTGAAACTTCTATTGAGCAAGCGGAATATTACTCCAAAAAATCTTTGAGAATAAGTTTTGGGGTTACAAGTAACCATATACTCCCTCCGTCCCAAAATAAGGTTCCTAGTTGCTATTTACAAGTCAAACTAACTCTAATTCCTTTATACATTTTCATCGATCATTTGATAAAACAAAATAATCTTGTCACCACTTGTTTTGTAAAACTTTTGATGTAGTTTTTAGTTTTTTAATATATGTTTTTTTATTTTTTAATTCTAACCAACTTTCACTTATATTGATTTGAAAATAACTTAAGTCAAATAGAACCTTATTTTGGGGTGGGGGAGTATAACCTGCAAGAGATTGTCTTGATTAAGTTGACTAGAAATAAAAATTGTACTTTAGTCAAACATAACTCTTTTTTTAGGGGCGGGACAGACAAATATGATGATTTTCCCTAAATATTTGTCTTGCCCCAAGTTTCATACTCAGTGTTCTAGTAGACAACAGCAGATACAGTATGGTTAATGGTTCTTAATGTTGGTAGTAATTAACATTATAAAAGTGTCTGTGTTTCTTATAAGGGCATCCACTATGGTGCAAAACATAGGGAGCTAACTACACTGCCACCATTGGAAGTGAGCTTAAGGAGTGAACTTTTGGGCAAGGAGCATCCCGTAGCTCCAAGAGCTAATGGAGAAAAAATAGAATATTTTGACAACAATTTAGACTAAATCCTTGATTTTTCTGTCCATTTTACAAAATACAACATATGGAGCATTAAATTAATGGAATGAAGGTAAAATAATAGGGAAAAAAATTCTTGAAATTAACTCAGCTTCGTTGATGACAAATGGCAACAATGCTAATATGCCATTTTGGGGGAGGGGGGATTTTTCATAATTTCCAAGAATGTTTTAACCAAATATAGAAAGTGGACAGTTGATTCTGGACACCCCAAAAAGAAAGTTGGCAACTTTTTCCGGACAGGAGTATTTAATATATTAATAGGCTAAATTGTTTGATGTGGACCCAAACTTAAAGAGTTATTATTGGAGTGGTATGGTGCATAGTTATCACGTCGCCAAGGCGAGTCGCGGCACCAGTGTAACGCCATGACGCCTAGGCATCTAGGTGCCCGCCTAGGCGACTATAAGGCGACTAGTAGTAAATGATAATTGCTATACAGTATACATACACTAATATAAATATATCACATAATATGATGTAGATAAAGTTTAAATTTCAAATTTCAAAAATTTAACATCCAAATGATAGAAATTATGTCACAACAAAGTCTCAAAAACCATCAAGAAAAGTAGAATTGAAAAAGTCATTGCTTGACAGCAAAGTCTCAAAAATCTTCAAGACAAGTTGAATCAAAAACGTCATTGCTTGCATTTTGGCCTTTCGTTTTGGGTCGTTTGGATCAATCACTTCATTGTTTGACTGTTCTGCCATGGTAATGCTCTATAAACCTGTTAAAAACACATAATTTAAAATAATATATAAATTATTCCAGCCATTTAACTAACAAATATACAAACATTTAATTTTTTTTACAAAAGAACATTTAAAAAATTAAATCACCAGAAAAACATTTTAAAAAATTATGTAATATGGCAGAGGAAGAATTAAAAAGTAATTTACAGTGGCTGGCAAAAAAATTCAATTTTTTTTGAAAGGAAGATTAAATCATTAATCATTATTAAGAAAAAAACCTTTAAATAATGTTGAGTGAAGTGGAGGAGTAGTGGAGGAGTGATACTATTTCTAGAAACAATTTAATTAGCTGTAAATGTAAAGAGAGAGAGACTTACTGTGGAGGGAGACTGGAGAGAGCCGATGTAATTCCCAGGCTGGATTTCCGAAGTCAAGAAGGACGTGAGGCAGACAGAACAACGACCCAATTCAGCTCCAGAGAAGGACGACCGCGAAGTGCCCGAGAGAGAACGACGACCGAGAGATTGAGAGAATACGCAGTGACGATTGGATTATTGAGGTAGGTTTGATATTTTAAAATCAATTGGGCTTGAGATAAGTTATTTTAAAAAAATAATTGGGCTGGACATCTAAGATCAATTGGGCTAGGATTTTTTTTTATTTCACGGCGTAAGTCGCCCCAGGCGTACCGACTGGACGTCTAGGCGTCTCTGCGGCGACGACTAGGCGAGCTCCGGAAATTAAGTCAAGTCGAAGGAGCATGGCGAGAAAAAAGTTCCGACTGGACGCCTAGGCGACACCGTAATAACTATGGTATGGTGGTTGAGATAATAGGGAGTTAGTTTTATGATTTCTCAAGAAAAGAAGTGATGATATGGATAGCGAAAACAACAATTTCTGTGTATGCCGCGAGTAGGCATTAGCATGGTTTGAAAGATGGCACTTGGCATTAGCAACATATACATGTTTTGAATGTTGTTAGTAACAACATTATAGACAAGTGCTGATACTAGTGCTTTTTAACAGGTTGATACTGTGGCATATCATTTGTCGACATTGAAGGACTTGTTCCCAGGAGGGATGAATGTGTTGTCTCTCTTCTCTGGGATCGGAGGTGCTGAGGTTGCCCTGCACAAGCTTGGGATTCGGCTGAAGACCGTGGTCTCAGTCGAGAAGTCTGAGGTGAACCGAAACATCGTGAGGTCATGGTGGGAGCAGACCAATCAAACCGGGAACCTGATTGACTTTGATGATGTGCAGCTGTTGAATGCAGACAGGTTAGAGCAGCTGATACATTCTACAGGGGGGTTTGATCTCGTGATCGGGGGAAGCCCGTGCAATAACTTGGCTGGGAGCAATAGGGTTAGCAGGGATGGACTTGAAGGTAAAGAGAGCTCCCTTTTTTACGATTACATTCGGATTCTGGATCTGGTTAAGAGTATTATGTCCGGATACCAGTAGAAGTAGTAGTAGTAGTAGTAGTTAAAATAAACCCAATCATCCCATGTAGTCTTCCTGTGACCTACTCATGCATTCCATTTGGTGGTACACTTTGTGTTGTTGTTGTTGTTGCTAGTTAATGCTTAGCAACTTCTATTCTTTTCCGGTATAAAAGAAATAATTTGAACCATTTTTCATGTGAAAAGAGATATTGGAATTTTTATATGCCTCAGAACAGCAGTTCATGTTCTTGAATTGGGTTTTGCATTTTTTTTTATGTTAGAATATACTAAAATCTTATTAGTGATGATATCAGCTTTTATTGCTGCATCATCAAATTATTTATCTGCCTCCATAAACTTCACACAACTCCAATTATAACAATACATTTGGACGGTGGGCTTCTTTTGACATCAGAATTCGATGTCATATTATGACATTGGACACTTACAATGTTCTGTCTGTAAAATTGATGGTTTCTATCCCTTCTCTCTGTCTGTGAAATTGATGTTACCAATCGGCGATATGGGGGGGCTTGGAGATTTAAAGAGATTTAAAGAGGGTTAGACAGCATAATTTTATGTTACCAACATCCCTGTGATTTTGCAGACTCCTCTTCTTTCGATTAATTCAAATTTCACGCAACTAGGACTTTATCTTCTCTTCTTCGATCTGTGCAGTGGCAACGCCATGAATTTGATGATGCAGACTTTTCTTATGTTCTTATCTTCTGCCTTGCTTTATCTTCTTGACCTTGCAACCAAGACCTTTGCCTTTCTTATCTTCTCCTTCTTCGACCAACCATGCATTCCAATGGAGACTTTAGTGCCAATTGAATCGATGATGCAGATCCAGACTTCTAGGGCCGTTGTCAACCAATCTGATGCACACTTCCAAACTTCAGAAAGCTGTCGTACCCCAAAATTGATGCAAGAAGGCCCCGATGATGCAAGATGGCTATTGTACCCTAAAAATCCACATAAATCAATAAAAGAGTATGGATAAGAGTCACGTAAATAAGTTAAAAAGTAGGTTAAACTCTATATGGATTTCTAAATCCTTCGATTTTTTAAAGTTCAAAAAAATCTCAGAAAATCTCAATTGAATGCATCCCTTTTAATTTGTCAGTTTTAGAATGTCATATTGAAAAAAAAATTCACATTCTTTCATAATAACTTCATTTATTTGTTTTATGATGTATTGAAAGATTCTTACGTGTGTATAACAGCATGCTATTACATATAAAATCTTTGTTTTTTCACTTTTCTTCATATTCTAAAGTACTTTCAAGTTAATGGAAGAAATTTGCCATTGTAGCTTACTTTATATTTTGATTAATGAATTTCATAGAAGATATGTTTCATTTTTTAATCAATAAATTTTCAATCATGCCCAAGGCACACCATGAATGCACCAAGATATTTTTCACCCATAACACTTATCTATGTGAGGGATTTTCATGGACACTCCAACACTTAGTAGATTAAAATGTCCATAGCATCAAACGTTATCAAATGTAAATAATGTTATACATTTTTTTTATAAATTCTCTTTAAATGCATCTCGGAGCATATTTTTAAAAATGGAAAGTTTCCAAATGCGAATGTTTCCAGGGAATGTGAAATAGTTTTACAAAAATTAAAAAACCTCGTCAAAATTATACTGATTTTTTTTGTTTATATTAGAGTTATATTAAAGTTTTTATATTAGTATAGTTTTACAAAGAACGCAGTGAATTGGGTATATAGTTGGTGAACTCAATGGTAAATATAATGTTATATAGAGATAAATAATAATAAAATGAATTTGTTCCCAGAGAAATAAGATTGTTACGTCGTGTATGAGAGTGTGGCTATAGAGAATGATTGTTAGGCATCAGGTGCAGGGGCGGACCCAGGATTTTTACCATGAGGTCGATCATATATTTAAAAATGTGAGAATGTATTTCATTTGTTGGATCAAGTAAAATAAGATTCATATTAGAAAATATTCTCAAAAATAATTTTATGGTATTAACATCTTAAGTAAAGTGTAAAGTTCATAAGTTTTTTCGATATAGAAAAGAACAGACAAATAACAAATAGATATGTTGATTTATAGTTTAATACGAAAGGAGGTATAAAATTTTTGAAGCACTTAAGAAAATCGAAACACTCCATAAACATAAACTTTATTGTAGATTTTCAAATGACATGGATAAAGCATTAAAAATTTAAAGTTATATTTATTAGAAAATAAAGATGATGATGATGATGATGTATAATAAGAAGAATTAGAATGAGAATAATATAAAAATACACTAAAATAAGTTTTTAAAAGTTTCTTTAGGCTTTTTATTTTTTGAAGTTTTTTCAGTTTTCTTTCCGTTTCTTCAAGTTTTTTTCAGTTTCTTCTAATTTTTCCAGTTTTTTCCTGTTTCTTCCCGTGCTTCCAGTTCCTTCAATTTCTTCTAATCCCTCCTAGTTTTTTCCAACATCCTATTCTTTTTTATCCGTCCTAAAGAAAAAGCTCTTAGTGTGCAGTTTTGCTGGGAACTTGAAGCTTATCCGTTCCTACCCGAAAGCATTATGTCTACTCCCTTTGTCCGGAACAGACTTTGTTTTGTTTCTTCCAAAATAAAGTTTCATTTTTCTATTAAAGAGATCATTATATGATATACTTTGAACAACATTTCTCTTTTTTTTGTAGGAATATTAACCATCTAATTTTACTTATCTTAAAAATCATCTTTGATCAAATGTAAAACCTAAACCTACACAGAGAAACTGTTTTATTTTTTTGTTTTGTCCAAATATAATGATAATGTGATACGAATATCGTATCAGATGGGAAATACTTCGAACGCCTTCAAGCTCCAGAAAGTTGTGACAAGGAAGAAAGGGGAAGGGAAACACAGGGACCGCCTAGCAATCTGAGATAGGAGAAGACATTTAGAGTTTGTGATAATTATTTATTACTATTTCCGTACTAGATTATTTGTTCAGTTTTGACTTTTTTCAATCAATCGTTTTCAGAATTTGACCTATAATTAAATAAAATATACTCCGTATATGTTATATTAATTAAATAAAATGATATTTTGAAAATATTTTATTTAATAAATCTAACAAAACTATTTTTGTATCAATATCTAATATTATTTTTTATCCAATTTGGGGTCAAAGTTTACCAATTTTGATCGAAAAAACTCAAAAGTAGACAAATACTTCGGGACAAAAGAAGTAATTGATAATTCTAAATGGGTACGTAGATCCAAGGAAAAGAACTTAAAAGAAACCCTCGAGTCATCGATGAAACTTATTCTGCTCACCTAATAAACTTAGATTACAATGAATAATAATAATAATAATAATAATAATAATACGGAGAAATAAATACTTGTAATAAATAAAACATAACTAATAAATATATAACTGAATATCATGGAAGATGAAACTGATTCTGCTCACCTATTTTTCATTTTTTCCATTTTGGCCAATTTGTTTACAAAACAATCCTTAAATATATAAGAATATTTTTATATGACTCATTTCTCATTTAATTCTCTTTATGAATTTTTTTAAGAAGGAGCTTAAACATTTGTTCATTACATTTATTGAATTCATTTACCCATAACGTATGTTAATTCTAAAACAACGTAAAGTTCAATCTAAAACAACGTAATCTTCATTCTAAAACAATGTAGTATTCATTCTCAAACAACGTAGACCAAAATAGTGTTCACTCCGACATATATGTAGTTAGTGAATTGCGTCTCCTCGGCCCTCTTGAAATCTACAATTCCATATTTCCATGTCGTCAGCCTTTTTTCTTCTCTTTAGAAGACAAGACCAAACCCGAACGGCAGCGCCGGCGAAAAACTAGGATTTCCTCATCCAATGCCCGGCAATTGTAGATCCAGGCTCCCGTTTCTCATTAAATAAAAAGGGGAAGGTTCCCATAACATTAGGAACCAATGTCATGGGATGACCCGTGAACGCTCCGGTGCCCCGTTCGTAAAATTGACGGTCCGTCCTAACCCCTTTGGTAAACCCCCCCCCCACCCAGCCCCGATCCGAACACCCCCCCCTTCAATTGCACCCCNGGGGGGGGGGGGGAGGTGTGTTCGGATCGGGGCTGCGTGGGGGGGGGTTTGCCGGAGGGGTTAGGACGGGTAAGAACCGTCAATTTTATGAACGGGGCACCAGAGCGCCACCGGATCAACATTGACTCCCAATATCATGGGAACCCAGGAGAAATAAAAAACTCCATAATTTTGTTACTTCTTGTTTTGTACTTCCTCCGTTTCAAAATGAAAATCACCCTTACTCTTTTGAAGGCTTGAAAAATACTGTTTTTATTTTCAACTTACTTTTTTTAAGAAATGAATGTGGTTCTGGTCATTTTTCTCCTAAATCGTCATGAAATCAACGTGTAAGTTTGAGATGAGAGAATGGAATACTCCGTAAATTTTATTTTTAAACTTTACACTTCATTTCAAATAAAATAAATTTTAAAAAAATCAAGCAAACATTGTAATCCCAGAAACAAACTCTTTCTAGGATGAAGAAAGTATGCATTAGAAACAAAAACAATTACAGATTATATGCATTTTTCCATGAGAAAATAACATAAGAAGATAACATCATTCAGCATTTGTTTCTTATCCCTAGTTTTTTCTGGGATCCAAACATACCCATTGGTGCATTAAACTTATCATCATCACAAATAATCCAAATCCTACATTTGTTTCAAGAGAAAATATGTTTTAAAAAAAGTGCAGTTTGAGAGGAAAATGTGTCTGCATCTTTGGTTGGTTATTCAAGCAAGGACTGGAAATATTATTTTTCAACAGAAAGCATTTAAAAACAATATTGTGCAAGGAGAAGACACTGATCCCGCAAAAAAAAAAAAAAATCCACAACACAGTTCAAGCTACTAGGCATGCACCTTATTTTGTGTTGTGTCTACACAGCATCAATCTTCATCATCATCTGCAACAAACATCACAATCTGATTAAATTACATTAATCCAGAATAGGAGATAGCAGAAGAAAAACGGTGTTCTACAACAACCCAGATATTCCTTCCACCGGGTGAAGGTAAAATGTAGGCAAACCTTAAGATCACAATGTATTAGATTTGATATGTCAAGTCTTGAACAAATCCGGAAAATAAAAATCTAAATTCATGGCATCTATCATGCCATGTTAGAATATTACTTTACACTCTTTTCCCGTGTCTTTTATCAATTTCCAGGACAACCAGTTTCTTAGTTATTTTGTTTTAAACTTTAATGCAAAGTGAATTTTCATACTTCCTCAGTTCCTCTTTTCTATAATATAAGCCATGTTTGCAATAATCAGATTAAGTTATATGTTTTAATAATCCGTACTATTTGTTTTTTAAGGGGTTTAATATTATTTGTTAGTTTAAACATATTTAACGTAGTCAACTTGTTTGGGACACATTTATATACTCCTTCCGTCCCACGCTCCCATAGTGTTTGTCCACTTTCTTTTTGGAACAAAACCAATGTAATGGGTAAAAAGTCACACATACCCTTATTTTGGGTCTCCTTCACCACCAGCCCTCCCATCCCAACTGGTCTCCGCACCGCCATTTCTGTCGCCACGTCTCCCCCAGCCTGGCCACACGACCCGTCTCCAACAATGTTCTTCAGCAAAAACGAAAATCCATCTGAAATCTGAATTCTTGATTTGAATCTCCAAGGGGAGAGGACTCTCAGATCAGCTTTTTCACATCGAATGAAGGGAAAAGAGAATCAGATCTAGTTTAGATCTGTATGGTTTGGGAGAAGTCTGCAGCGAATCGGATCTCCATATTTCCGGAAAAGGCACGGCACGTCCACCGCCATATATTGAAACCGGAGCCAAAGCTCAAATCAGATCTCCATACTTCCCGGCAAATCAGATCCCCATACTTTACGACGAAGGCCGCAGAACAAAGTAAACTGGGGATCGCAACAGAGTAAATTAATGGAGATAGCAAAAATGGTCTGCCGCCTCTTGGGGATAGCAATGGAGTAAATTAATGGGGAGGGTAGAAGAGTCTTTTGCTTAGTTTTTTCTCAACAAAAAGTGTAAAAATATTGCGGGACAACTAAAAAGGAATACTAGACAAATACTCTAAGATGGAGAGAGTATATGATGTAAACTTAGCTTCTTATGTCAAGTAGAACGCTCTTTTCTTGTGGAGAAAATTACCCCATCACATAAAGAGGTTCACTCTTCAAATTCACGGAGTTTAAAAAATGTGTTGAGAATTGAAAAGTGTGGTTGATATTTATTTAGATTAGGGAGAAATGTTATGAACAACATATTCTTTTCCATAAAAATATGAGAGAAATGAGCTTTTTTGGAACATCCAACCAAGGAAAATATAAAGTTCTTTATGGAACGGTGTGACTAATTTTTTAAAAGAAGAATCTTTTTCAGGGATGGATATATTAACATAGAAAGGAGGGTATATCTTACGGATTAGAAACACACATAGTTAAAGGACTTACAGTGATGACGTAGTTGGAAACGCATATGAGCTACTAGCAATAGCTAAATTTTACAGATGGAATCCATAAGATTAGGGCTAGGAAAAGTCTAGTGTTTGAAAAATCAATTTCATTTCATTAAGATCTCTTTAGCTTATAGTATACATAGGATGATTTTATACACACTCATGGGCCACGACTTATAACAGTAAACTTACATAAAGTTGATTCTAATCAGTAGCAAGTTGAGAAAAGTTTTTAAAAAAACGTTGGAAAGAAAATCAGGAAAATATACAAAGGTTAAATGGCAGAGATCTACACTTCCACCTCTGTCTAAAAAGTTTCCCCTTTGTGATTCAACACAAGTCAGGAACATCTAATTGTGCAGTGGTGCTGCTTTGAGTCGCAGAGCAGCTTTGCTGATCACCTTATCTCAAGAGCGGGTTTGAAATATGGAAGGAAATGTATGAAAGAAACGAGACTACAATCATTTGGACTAATTACAAAGGGGATCACCCGGTGGCTGAATTCTATCCACATCAGGGCAAGATATTCAATGGAAATCAGTTATGCAGCCCCGACTCATCCTAACGCAAACAGCTTATTCGGGAGGTATATGAAAGTGGTTTCAGTGGTCGTTTAGGCCAGGGAAAAGCCTACAGCAGTCTGGCAAACAGACACTATTGGATGCATTTGAAGACTGATGTTAGATAATTTGGTGCAAGGGTGCTACATTTGCCAAGTTTCTGAATGGCAATCCCAAAACACAGGTCTCCACAGTCAAATCCTTATTCAAGATGATATTTGACTAGATCTTTGTATGGATTTTGTTTTGGGGTTGTCAAGAAATCAAAGGAGAGGAGACTCAGTTTTATGGTGAAGGATATGTTTTTTGTTAAATTGCTCATTTTATCTTGTGTTAGAAAGAGTAGATGCATCCAAGTCTCCATTGCACAATTATTTGTGGAGGTGATGTTTTTGCATGGGATCCCTCATTGTATCACATCCAAGGTTGTTGAACTTAAGTTAGGATAGGAAGAGGGCAAGAGATTGAAAATCGAGGATGGTAACTCGACGGTTGTTAAGCTCAAGGTGTAGTTCGGATAGGAAGAGGATGAGATATCGTTAATCGAGGATTGTGACTTGAATTGTAAGATCCTAGACTCATAGCTAATAAAACGTACATCTACATAACAACCTAAGTTTAAAATAGATAGTCATAATTCATCCTTCAAAAACAAAGAAGTGTGTGATTTACACCGCAAAGAACAAAATTTTCAAGAAGGGAAGATATTTTTGTCTTCCTAAATAAATAAAGGTTTCCAACATAAACCTACAGCAACTTATGAACTGCAAGTATGGCCCAAAGAAAATAATCAAACTCAACAACAATGCAACATTATTGATTTCTAGAAGGGAAGATATTTTTGTCTATATATGCTTACATTATCTAATGTTCTAAAATTCCAAAACAAAATTAAAGAAGTGGCGTACTTTGGAATTGTGCTATTATCTTTTAAATTCTAGAAGCTACTGTCAATGGTAAACATTTTGAAAGTACCCTATGAAAGGCTTCTTAAAATTTACAAACATGACACCTTTCATAGTCCTTTTAGGTACGATTTCTTGTTTCTCCACTTCCAAGTCCTTGGATTGGGATTTATGCCAATTCTAAGTTGTCTAGCCTATCCACAACAAAATACATCCAAAATACTACTTTCATCCCCATATATTTGTCCAGTTTGAAGTTTTTTAGTCAATTTAAACAAACTTTGGCCTCAACTAAATAAAAATTGTAATGTATATTGGTACAAAAATGATTTCATTAGTTTTTATCTTGCTGAGGACTTTCAAAATTTGATTTCATTATATTAATATGCAATACAAATTGAGAGTAATTGATGATTAAAGTTCATCCTGTTTGACTCAAAAAAATGTCAAATTGGATGAATACGTTGGGAGGGAGAGAGTAAATAAGAAGAGTTGGCATTAGTTACTGCAGAATAGTATGGAGTAAATCAAAAAACATGTAATGCCAAAACCAATTCCGTTCCGTTTCATACTCTGAAAGTAGAAAATTCACCATATTCAAAGTGGCCCGGTTTATGAACATCTAAAAACTGTTACTTAATATAATATGCACTATGCTTGATGACTTGATCCATTACAGATAGGCTATTCATTTCAAATGCGGAGCATATCATTTCATTTTGATATTACTGCTATAACAGCAGAAATCTTCCAGAAAAGTGGGGAAATTGGAGAAACTTTAGTTTTAAGTATACTAAGGAAATGCAAGAAACAGAAGGTACCGAAATAACGGCGTTCATTGGCTTCCTTGGCCTTAGCAAGCAACTTGTCAAGGTCTTCTTGACATTTGGCGTCAAATTTAACCATCTGATTGGCAAACACAACTCCGATTCCCATCCCTAACAAATGCTCCCACGGATCTGCAAATTGAATTTTTGAACACAAGGAAACTTAAAGTAAATTATGCATAGTGACTAAGGCTTGAACTTTATCGCATAGATTAGGAGTAAAGCAAATGGTAAAGAGATGGAAGAATCGCTGACGGCCAGTGGATACATACGGCGCATGTAAGGTAGTTTGCGGAGGGCGTTGGAGTACATCTGGGTGCCCAATCCCAGTAGGGCTCCCACGACCGTTGCGCTCAGCGGCATCCTCCACCCCTCTGTCCTCACGCTTCAATTCTTGGCTATGAATGAAACCCTAGGAATTACCAGTTTCAGTCAATTTCAATCTGAGCTAACTGCTAAGCGGAGATGGAGAAAGTTCACTCTCGTCAATAGTGAGTGCGAGTTAAATTTGCACTACTCATCCTTTTCTTCCAACTGTTTCTATTTTGACTTTGACTTTTAGGTTAAAATTAGGAGTGTATAATTATGGTTGATTTTCTAATTTTATACTCCGTATTTAATGTGATAAATAAAAGTAAGATATGATGGGTAAATTTTTAGTAAAAAAGATACTCTTTCCGTTCCAAATTATAATGCATGTTCACTATTCAAAGGGTCAAATTTCATTCACTTTCTTTATCTATTTTCGTTAGCAATTTGATAAAATAAAGTACTATTGTCACTACTAGTTTTGTAGATCTTTTGATGTAGTATTTAAATATGTAATTTTTATTTTTTAATTATATACCATTTGTCAATGATTTGAAAATAATTTCAGTCAAACATCGTAAACCGAAACAGACGTATAAAATGGGACGGAGGGAGTATGATGTAGTAGGTAAGATAAAAAAAATAAGGATAAAATTTGTATTTTAATAGAAAGTGAAAGTGTTTTGGAGAAATGAAAAAAATGGAAGATGAAGTATTTAAGAAACGGGGAGAGTAGAAATTTAGGCACACTTCAGTTAACTTATTTCCCCACCTGAAATCATTTTAAATATAACTATAATCAAATTTGATCATACCAAATTAGACTAAATTTTCAAAAAATCAAATTAGATTAGACAAACGGAACGTAATCTTAGCTCTTTTTATGCTACAATCCCTCTTGATGGGAAATAATACGTGGCTCGGCCCACATTTCCCAATTATTTACGAAGAACAGTCAAACCGGACTTGTTTAATAAAATGGAGGAATAAGAGAATATTCCCCGAATATGCTTCCCCTCCTCCCCTATAAAAGGAAGACTCCCCCTCAATGTTAGGGGAGGCCAATTTCACTCCTCTCCTGCTACTTTCTCTCTCTAGATATTTTTAGAGTATATTTTTCCTTCTTCAAGAGCTTCTAGCTCCACCATTAATGGCTTTCGAGCTGAACTCTTGTACCGTGTACACACCCCCGATATTAATAAAAATCCCCCGTTGGCAAGGTACCGCCAAAAAAGGCCCGTGGTTTTCTCCCGATTTGGGTTTCCACGTCAAAATCCTCGTGTTTATATTTTGGTGTATTTTTAGACTAGTTTATCGTTTTAGCCGGGCTAAAAACGGTATACCGGTCGATAATTTACACCATCACCACTATTTAAATTTAGGGGTGTTTCTCATTGTTTATTAGCTTATTGCTCATATAAATAATTTTAAAATTGCTAAAAGTGTAAACAATGACTAAAACATTGAAAAAGTATCAAAATAAGACCCTCATATTTTTATTCCCGAAATACGAGTTACAATATCAATAATGTCAACATATAATACCAAAAACACGATGGGATGACAATATATAGTGTCACATTATCAAAATGTAAACTTTTATTTTGAAGATAAAAAATATAACTTTTATTTTAGAGATAAAGACTGTTTTTTACTCTTATTTTGGGCGATTTCAATTTATTTAATAATTTTTTATTAAATTATCTTTTGTTGAATGACATAAATAAGAGATAAGTAATTTGAGGGAATTCATAAAAGATTAGAGATAATTTTGTGTACACCCTTTGTCCTAGAAATATTGTCACAACTATTATTCAATTCTCGTTCCTTAAAAATTTTTGTTTGTTTGCATATTTTCTATTAGCGGATATTTGTATATAGGCCATAGATTAGCATATTGGGCTCGTATTGTTTAACCCATTTATGTACTTGTATATATATCGATTTGTGATTAATGAAAAATAGAACACTTTCAAACCTAACAATTTGGATCTTGGAGGTAGATTCACCAACTCCCAAGTGTGACTCTACAAAACAGAATCACTTTTAATGGTCTCTTCCCATTGAGGGCCTTCAAATTAAGTTAGTGCTTCACTAAAGGTTTGTGGTTCATTTTCTTATTAACATGTTAGAATATCGAGTTTGCTCTCTATAAAAAATGATAGACATCCTGATTCAAATTCCAACATGTAAGTTAGAAAACATGACCAAAGGACTTCTCAGTTTGTGTCCTTTTATTTCATCTTTGTTCAGTCTCAATTTCAGTTTCATCAATGGTACCGGTATTAGACTAATCCAGATAACCATCATTCAACATTTCATCATGTGAACGCTTAGACGAAGTTGCTTTGTTTCTTGATTTTAATGGAAAGTATGTTCGAAGAAAGTGACATTTCTCGATTCCTTTATTGTATACTTGTATATTTCTAGATTATCGGACTTATACACCAAGAATCGATATGCGCTACCACTGTAGCCAATGAAGATTTCGTCAATGATCTTTGGACCAATCTTAATTTTCTTTGGTGATGGTGTTAGAACTTTTGCAAGACACCCTCACACTTTCAGGTATTTATAAGAAGGATTCCTTTTATACCACAACTTGTAAGGATTCTTATCGAGTTTCTTTCGGGGTATTTTATTTAATAAATAATTTTTAAATAAAATAGCTTCACCCCACATATTTTGGGTAGCCCTGAACTAAGCAACATCATATTCAACATATCTTCAAGAGCGTGATTTTTCTATTCCGCCACACCGTTTAATTGAGGTGTGTATAGCAGAGTTACTCGATGCACAATTCCATGTTGTTCACACAACTCGGTGAATGGAGTCTCCTGCTCCCCGCCCTTATCACTCTTAATCAATTTAATTTTGCGATTGAGTTAATTCTCAACTTCATTCTTATACCGAATGAAAGTATCCAATGCTCGTCTTTACTTTTAAATAAATAAATATATTAGTATTTCATGCTATCATCAATAAATGTGATAACATATGTGTTACCACGTCTTGAAGACGTTCTTTTGAAAATCACGCAAATCCGTGCGAATCAGATCTAGTGGCTGTGTAGGTCGTTCAATCGTTTGAAATGAACTTTGTGTTGACTTCGCTTTGACACACGTCTCACATTTCTGAGACAAGTCGATGTCAAACTTTAGGATATATTCCATGTTAATTAATTTCTTAAAAGATGCATAATTAACATGTCATGGTCTACCATGCCACAAATTGAAAGACTCACACACACATAGGCAACAAGAGTTTTATTAATTTTTGATAAGTCAGGTATATTTATCACTTACATAATTGTGTCAAGTCAATATAGAAAGATTGAAAGAGGACAGATTGAGTATTGAATATACTCTATATGTCTCAAATCAGATTATTACAATTTTTACATTACGAATTTTGTAAAACTCAGTGTTTTCCGTAATCATTTATTTAAATGTTGGTAAGAGAATAAAAAACACAGTTAGCTTGCATATTACACAAAATCTATGTCAAAAAAGTTTTACAAAACAAAAGGTGATACAAAAATTCTAGTTTATCAAACAATCAATGAAAGCATACACAAACAAAAATTATCGAGAGGTGAAAGAAGAAAATTATAATCAATTCCGGAACGGAGGCGAGATATATTGTGTAAGATACGTGAGTAATAATTTGAAAATAATATCAAAAATATACATTTTTAGGACCGTCTTTTATTAATAAAAAAATTTATGGTACTGATGATTGATGAAGCATATGAATTCACGCCAAACATAAAATTTAAGATAACTTAGAAAGGAGTGGAGCAAAATTAGTGTAAAATTAATTAAATTTTTTGAGAGATGTGACTATGATCACTTTTTTAAAGATTGAAAATGATCACTTTCTTAATTTAGAGCAGCAATTATATTGGATTGAACATAGAATAGGAAATGTTGTACTTGGTTCCTCCTTGAGTGTTTGTCCACTTTTGACTTTTGAAACGGTTCATCTAAGTACTTTGACTCATCAAAATTCTCTCAATGTGTAAGCCTAAAAATAGTCATGTGTGATCTTGTTTGATTCGTCTTAACATATAGATTATTAATATACTCGGTATAATTTTTATAATTTTTTAATATACAAATTACCAGATAAAATGGATTAAAGAAGTGCATTGGATGGTGTGCAAAAATGAAAGTGGACAAACACTGAGTGACGATAAATTGTTGTTGCTTTTAGCAGCCGCCGCACTATTTTTACATTATTATAATTATTATTATGGACTTTTTTGAGAGAGGCAATTAGAAAAAAACAAATGCAACCGCTTCTTCTTTGTCCAGTGTTTTCGTCTTTATTTACTGAAATAATTCCCTGGACTCTCTTTTATTTTTGTTTGTTTCTGTCCATTTCTTAATGGACTCTTGTATAAACTCCCGCCACTAAACGCACTCTTCATTAAACTATTCTCCCCCCTCTCCCGCCATCTCGTGTGTAAGTTTTACCTACAAAGTTTGACCAGAAGACTAGGGGTACCCAATTGGTACTCCAATTTATAGTTTTATACCCATTTCCTCCAACAATAAATTTCTGTTTTGAATAATGTGTAAAATCTTACTTTTTTTTAAATTATTTTATTTACAAATTGGTGTGTTATAAAAAAAGTATAAGTTACATTGTTCAAAACTAAATCAAAAGTTCTACAAAACACAATGCGACAATAATATTTTATTTTATCAAATGATTGTTAAAATTATGAAAGAAACATAAGTTATCGAGAATTCGTAATAGTAACTAAGAAATTTATTATTGAATGGAGGGAGTACACCACAACCATATACTGGCACAAAATATCGGTGTGATACTGACATATTCATGTCTATGGATTTTCTTTAGAATGGCTCAAATTTGACAATTTGAATTGAAAAGATAGGAAAAAGTTTGTAGTGATTCAACATTATCTTTCAAATTTCAAGGATTTATCTTTTTAAAACAATTACGGAGTATTACGACTAGTATTTTTACTCACTCAATGATAAGTTGCAATTTTTTTTTTGCAAGTTGAGCTGTGGAAAATCTAGAAAAAATATGACTCGGTCACTCGGACAAAGTTGAGCGTCCCCTATTTTTTCTAAAGACTATTTATAATGGTGTAAAATGAATAAATATATTTTCAAATGGGTATTCAAATAAGTAAAATAAAATATTTTTAAAGTAAAAAATAAAAGTGATGAAATGAATATAGTTTAAGAATATTATTTTGAGTTTATATATTGTGATTTTTGATTGAATTTGAAGTAAAGGGTTGGAGATGAATTATAGCATTTTGGTTTCCTCCGTTCCACAAAACCCTTCCGGTTTTGACTTTGGGGAAAAATAAGAAAAGTGTAATTTTGGTTGACTTTCCAATTTTGCCCCTGATGTGATGAGAAAAAGTAAGATGAGATAGTTTGGTTATTAGTGAAAAAGTATGATGTGATAGGTAGGGTATGAAAAAGTATGAGTAAACGTGGTTTTTTAATAGAAAGTGGAAGTGTTTTGTGGAAAATAAAAAAATGAAAGAGGAAGGATTTTGTGGAACAGATGAAGTAAGTTTTAGTTTGGTGTTGTTGGTTTGAAATGGTCTAATGCGTACTAATAAAGATAACCAATATTTTTCTCGTGATAATTATTTTTCTATTGAATTTTTTTCCATTTATCCATACAAATATATATTACATATATTAGATCATATTTATCTTACTAAAATTCTTTTGATTTAACCAACCAGGATATAAAAGAAAATCTTTCAATTGATTAATAGTTCTTTTTTTTGTTATCATGACCAAAACTGATCATTTTATATATAAAAAAATACTCCCACAAGCGAGTGTATGAAGATATTTTAATTATTTATAAAATAGAAAAGTAAAAAATTAATGTAAATAACATAGTAACGAAGATATATGATGACATTTAATAAAAAAAATACGAGTATTTATGTAATATGTACTACGGAGTATATATTTTTCAAGCAATAATATAAATTTTGGCACAAATTTTTAGATAGAATAAATAAATATCTAAAATACAAGATTAACTAATTTATAGTATCTCTATAGTACAAATGTCAACTAAATGCAGATCCAAAGTGTAAAATTTTAATAATAATAATAATAATAATAATAATATTAAATTTAAAAATATTCTTAATTATGCTTATGCAATATATTTATAATTGTCTCAAATTATTGAATAAATTTAGATTAAACATATTTATAATGAATAAAGAATTTATTACTTGACGATAACTTATGAGTAATTACCTTTTTTATTAATGGGGTGAAATTAATTTATTTAGCTATTATGGTGTAATAAAATTAATCATATTGTTGATCAAAATGAGTGAAAGATAAATATTGTATTTCACATAATGAGATGACTAGATTATTTTTTTTAATGATCAAGTATTTAAACCAAATCAATTAGAAGGAATATTTAATTTTACTTTTGCACTTTATCTTGCTAATTTGATTTATTATTTTAATCAAAGTTTGCATTGTAATTTACCATTTTTTAAGATGTAATTTAGTACTTATAAATTTACGATTAGGTTTTGTGGCCACTAGATTCAAGTGGCCACGGAAGCCACTGCCCCTCTATGGAGCTCCGTTTATAAAATTGATGATTCCTCCCCTCTAACCCCCCAGTAAACCCCCCCCCCCCACCCCGCTGAGTCCCGACCCCAACTCATCCCCCACCTACGTCAATTGCATCCCGTAAGTATAATTTACTTTAAAGTCAAAAGTTTTTTCCTTTTCCATATTGTATAGGTAGTAGTAGAATTATTTTTTATAATTTCAAATATTGATGTTTTTCTCCAAACCAATTCAGATTAAAAATTTGCTATTTTATCTATAATTTTTGAAACATGGGTTAGGGTCAGGTAGATTAATAAAAAAGTGTACTATTTATATTAAAAACTGTAAGAAAAATAATAATAAGTGCGAATTGGAAAAATAGTGACATGAGAAAAAATAAAAACAGACAAATTGAATAGTTATTCTAATAATAATAACAATAATAATAAGATCAATAATACTCACATGAAAAAACATCATTTTAGAGTTATTGTTTGGTGAAACTATCTAGAAAGTGTTTGAAAAAAATGTGAATAGTTAGAAAAAAGGAAAAGAACTATAGTAGAAGTAAAACATTGAAAATATACCAAATTAATAACTCTGTATTTTTATTCTCGAAATAAGAGCTAAAATGTATTTATAGTGTCAATGAGTCAATCATGACTATAATACATTACCAAAAAGTATTGTAAAATGTTTATATAGAGTATCACTTATTACAATGCAAACTCTTATTTTAGGGACAAAAACCTATTCTTTCTTTCATGATTGACATTTTATTTTCATTGTAACTCTTATTTTTGGAATAAAGACATAAAACTTTTTTTCACATTTTTATGTTTTACTCATATTTTTTTCTAAACTATTTTGACATTCAAATTTTTTATTAAAATTAGAAAAAAATAAGAAAAATTTGAGTAATAAAGAGAAAGGTGAGGGCTCTTATATAAAGTTAGATTAATATAACATTCTACGTAACTATTTTACTCATAAGTTTTTAATATAGCATAAAATATTGATGTTTTTCTGATATATCATAGATTAATATACAAAAAACTATCTTATTCATATTAAAAAGTTATAGAAAAAATAATGAGTGTGAATCGTAAAAATAGTGAGATGAAAAAAATAATTTATAAACTATAGTTATAAACATAACAGTTATAATAATAATAATAATAATAATAATAATCACATTAAAAATATATCGTTTTAGAGTAATTGATTCGGAAGCAGAATGAGTTTGAAGAAAATGAGAATAGTTGGAAGAAACTGAAAGAATGGTAAGAAACTGAAAGAAACTGAAAGGAACTAAAAGAAACTGGATGAAATTGGATAAAACTAGAATTTAAGAGTTTAAGTCCTAAAGAACAAACTCTTATTCTTTTAGTTTGTACTAGGTATCTGTTTTAAACAAAATAATTAGTATACCTTATCCCTAAATGAAATATTCGTATATTGCATTGAAGCCAGAACTAAAAAGAAATTCAAAATTTAAGAATTATTTTATTTAGATATTCATCCTTCGTATCAATTTACGAGTAAATTGTTTATTTCACTTTATGGTGTTTGACTCAAACTTTTTTCAATTCATTTTATATGGAAATTGGTGTGGAGTTTAAAAATAAAATTTAATACTTAAATCTACACATAAAGTTTATTTCATATAAAATAAGAGGTGACATGACTTAATAATTAAAATTTAACCATGTAAATAGTGAACAAATAACTTAGGTTAGACTGAAAGGTATAGAAAAAAAATAAATATTACATATTTACAAAAAGTAATACTCCTAATGATTGAGTGCCTCTATGTAGGGTACTGGGACCCAACATGACTCTATGTGGGTCTGCCCCTACTATGAGCCGGTTTTGAAATAGCGTTAGCATTTTGAAAAAAACAATGTACGTGCAGCATTTAGCGTTAACATTTTCGAATTAGTCTACAACATTAAAATTTTATTCAAAACACTAACGCTAATCTCTAACGCTATTCCCAAACATACTCTATGTGGGTGTTTTTTTGTGCTGGTGTTTATTGACTTATTACTTATAAACAGTTTTTAACTTATAAGCTGCTTATAAGTTAAACATACTTTCGTGTAGATAAAATGACTTAAATGATATACTAGGCATTTGGAAATGTTCATAACAAGTGAAGGACAGTTTTGTAAGTAATATGGTCAAAACGGAAAATGAAAAAACTGACTTAAAAATAAGTAAGACCCACTTATTTTTTGGCTTATAAGATGTTTATATGACAGCTTATAAGAGCAGAGAAACACGTCATCTGCTGATTAATTAATTTAAAACAGCTTATAAGTAATTTTAAACAGATTATAAGTACATAGAAACACTCCTATATGAACATCTCAAGAAATGAAGGAATACATTTAATTTTAGTTGCACTAAGGGGCTGTTTGTTTCAGCCTCTTAATGGTTCAGATGTCTGAATCGTTCAGCACTTAATGGTTCAGACTGTTTGTTTCAGCCTCTTAATGGTTCAGATGTCTGAATGGTTAAGAGATTTGCCTCTGAATGGTTAAGTATTATACAGAGTCTGAATGGTTAAGACCTCTTATCTGAATTGATCAGACATTTGCCTCTGAATAATTAAGCAATATACTATCTCTTAATGGTTCAACACTTAATGGTTCAGACCTCTTACTGGTTCAGCACTTACCTATTCAGAAGTTGTCAAACAGCCCCTAAGCCAACTAATAATAAATTAAATGAGCTCATTATTTTTCGGTTCCACCACGCTAATGGTATTAAACGACCATCTTTGATAAAAAATGAAAATTATGTGATTGAAATTTACTTGTAACAAAAAATTAAATATTATTCATCAATTTAATTTTCAAAAAACAAAGTAGAAAATTGTAGAATTAGAGTTTTAGACATGTATTAAAAAAAGAAAAATGTAAAGGTATTTCATGAGAGAGGGTTTAGGGAGTTATTTAAAATTATCTCCTTAATTAAATTTTGTGTTTGACGTTTCAAAGATAGAGGTAGTAATTTTCTCCTTAAAATAATTTTTGGGTTTGACCCTATATATTTGTTTCCTTTCTATTGGATTCAGTTTCCCTTCGTAGAAAATGGTCCACCACCTAACGAGAGACCGACAGACATCAGCGGGACAAGTGTAGGAGTCGATGCGAATTCGGCCATCCCCGGAGAAATCAATCGCTGTTTTTCTTTCCTCCCCATTTCTGGTTTTGGTGTTTTCTCCTCTTTGTTGTTGATCGATGAAGGGATGAAATGAATGGATGATGTTCGACCTTTTTCCCCTGAGAACCATCTTTGATTTGCAAAAATGGTTCTTTGTTCCGTCTGCGCTAACTAACTCCCGTCGATCATTCTCTTCCGGATTCTCTGCCCGTATGACCCAAATGGGTTATTTTCTTTTTCTCAAATCTTCCCCGGAAAAGCATTGAGATCTCCGAGGTGCCGCCGGGAAAGTTCTAAATGGCGTCTTCCCAAGTCCACATTTCTCCGTTTGGATGTGTGCTGGGTAACCGAACCCCGTGTGATCGTTACAACCCGAAGAACTTCCACAAGAATCTCAAGGTTTTGGTGAATTCCTGCATTTCCGACGAGATGAGTTCGGAGGATTCCGACGAGAATGGTGGCCGGATGGACCTATCGGACCTTTGGGTTCATAAACCTCGATACCTTCAGAAGAATTCCCACCCGGACGGCGAAAGGAAACCCACGATGGATAAAGATTCCTACAACTGGGATAGGGTGAGAAAAATGGTGCTTTCTGTGGACGAGGACGACAAGAGGGATGTTTCCCCGTCTAGGTCGGCGGCTGAGGTTCCCCATCCGGGCGGCGTCTCCTCCCTTGTGCGGCGGTGGAAGGACTTTGAGAAACCCGCGGCCAACAACAATTCCTCAGTTTGCATCTCCAGGAGCAACTCCACCAGCTCCACACCCTGCGATGATTCGTCTTCCATTGACAACGGCGGGGAACCAGAGAATGCCCGTGATAAAGATTCTGATGCGTCGGAGAGGGAGAGACTGAGGGTGACCGACATAATCAAGAAGCTTATATGTAACCTTGGTGGGGAGGGGGGAAACCACAGCAATCGTGAGGCCCAGGGGAATGCGGGGGGAGAGGAACCATCAGCATCTCCCAGGGTGAAACCTCCTGCTGATCACCTCAGGTGTCACCCAAAGGTTCTGAATTCGCCTCGCATCATCAGAGGCCGCCAGGCATTTGCTGAATTGCTGGCGCAGATGGAGCTGGAGAGGAAGAAGGAGATCCAAGGACTTGTGAGGCTCAATGCCGTCTCTAAGTTCCAGCACAAAGGCCGCATTCAGGTATTCTCACTACTCCTTTTTACTCCCAAACTGGCACCACTTTCGCGAATATATATATAAATCTTATTTTGATGCTTACTAAAACAGGTTATGCTGAGGCTTAAGTTCTTAAGAGGCCGCGTATCAAATTATGAGGCTCCTGAGTCGAACAGATTGACACAATCATCCATAATGCATCGAAGGTAAAGCTGTTTGGGTCAAAATCTGTTGGAAGTGCAAATTCTGGCTTGAAGGGGCTTTGTTTCTTGCCATTTATTGGTCACTAATATATTTCTATTTATGAATCGTCGCCATGTTCAGGGAGAGGTTCAATGGTAGAGCTCCGCTTGGTATGGATGACTCCAAAGGAATCCCCAAAGAGATTCATCATCATCATTATCATCATGATAATACATCTGAAGCTGAAAAGGTTTTCAAATCCACATCTTTAGAGGTTGACCAAACAAGCCTTCAGCCGGAGGAGGCTGGAGGAATTCAATTAAGTTACGACAAAGGGTTCACAACTAGCGTTCAACACTCGGAGACTTCCATTGCAGGAGGCATTCCACTTGAAACGTGTCCTGATAATAGCCAAGAAACTGGCTCAGCTAGGCATGAAGAAGTGACAGGGCCCTCTGAAGTTAGCCATAATGAATCAATAAAGCCTCCGGAGATTGTTGGTGAAGAGATCACGGATCATCAACAAATGGAAAGTGAATTGGGAAAGGAGTGTGCTCAGAGTCAGAGTGGATTGGATGAAATGCAGTACGGAGTCAGTGAAGAGCCAGTAATAAATCAAGATTGGATAACCGATGTTTCTCGCCCACGCAGTGAATGGGAAGATCTTAGGCAAGCTAGATATCAAGAGATGCTGGATCCTTTCATAGATAATCTTGACATTCAACAACTTCTTCAAAGGTATTTCACTTGTTGCATTAGAAATGGCAAACTTCTCTGGACAAATCTGCCCTGTCCCCAATATGCAGCAAAATATAGTCCCCATACATTGCAATTACTAACTACTAGTAATTATTACTTGATGATAGCTAACTCTTACTTGTGTCCTAGCTCAAAAACATATACGGATTAACTTCTGTTTGTTTGTATTTTATTGGAACAACAAATTTTGTCTCATTATCTGCTTTAAAGAGAGCCTTTTAACCAATGTACAACTTTTTAACTTTGGTAACTACAAGTCACACTAATACTTTTTATTACTATTATTTATTAGTTTAACAAAAGTTACTATATGCAATTTTTTCATTACTCCTTTGGAGAAAGTATAATGAAAAATTCACTTCGTGATTAATTTGTAACTAGAAGCTGATTGTTACATGATGAAAGTTAACTCGTATCGGCCTATCAATAAGAAAGGTGAATCAAATATAAGATTATCTTCTTTCTTAAATCGAGCATTGCCATCATTTTAGATGCTCTGAACCCACTTATACAGATATTTGTGACTAACATAAAAAAGATCACTCGTAGAAATAACACGGACTTTCTTGACCGTCTTTGCAATATCATGTATCCTCACTTCTACCTCACATTCTAATTACTGCACACAGGAGAAGTGTTTCAAGTTTTCTCTCTGGGGATTTAAGGGAGAAAATAGATCGCCTTATGATATCTCGTTCACAAGGAAACCAAAGAACACTTCATACTGATGTGCATGAAGTAAAAGAAAAAGCAGAAGCAGATAAAGGTGACAAGGTCGAAGAGGCAGGACCCGAATGTCAAGAAGACGAAAAGGATGATGATAACCATGATGAAGAAGAGAGATGTTGTGAATTTGATTGCCAAATCGAAGAACTAAATAAGCATGCAGATTCAGTTGATCGAAGCTGGAGCTACAATCAAGGCCACAACTCGAGTGATGGTTCTGATGAAATGACATCTGCGTACTCACCTCCGTCTCAGTTCTCACACTTTTACTCCCAAAACAACCAACCATACTGGTCCTCCAAAACACATCCTTCAATTGTGAGTTCATCATTGATGATTTTGTCACTTATTATTTTTGATGCATAAATTCCCAAAACAGTCCTTTCTAATGAAGTGTTTTCTCAAATTAGTCCTCAATAATACCATGTTCTCTTCAACTTATTCTTATTACTTGTTACTTTTTCTAATTGGAATTAGATCAGATTAGAACTTATTTCAATCAGATCACGTGAAGAGAACATGGCCTAAGTTCTAATTACCTACATGGTACTTTATAATTGAAATTTGTTCCCTAAAAATGTCATTTAAATGATGATTAGTTGGAGGGTATTTTGGTATTTTCATTATCTAAACTTAAAATAACTTTTCAAAATGGTTATTTCTATACAATTTCATGTATAATTAAAATAATCATGGACTATACATAATTTATGAAGTATTAAAAAAATGTCAAAATATTTTAAAATTTAAATCAAATACACCTTCTTAATTAGAAAAGACCATTTTGGTAAAATACTTCATTTGAAATGTTCATTTAATGAAAAATACAAAAATACGCTCCACTTAATCGACATTTTATGACATTTCCTACAGAGGACTATCTAGTAAATAAATCTCAATTATGAAGTACCACGTATGTAATTAGAACATATTGAGAACTGATTCCGGAAAACACATTATTAGGATGGACCATTTTGAGAATTTACTCTTCTGTTGTACTTCCTAAATTTCACTTTCACTATTCACACAGTCAAACTATATCTCTTTACTTTAATCATTTGTTGGAATACCATAGTCATGCTACCTCTTGTTTTATAGAGCTTTTGATGTAGTTTTAAATATGTAAATTTGATTTTTTAAAGAGTTAATTATGTTTTTGGCCCCTTTAAAATAAGTGAGTTTTGCTTTTGGTCCTTCTATATATTTTTTTAATCATGTCATCCCTCTAAAATTATTATTTTTTCAAATAGTCCATGCTTTATTTAAATATGTGTTTTGATCCCTTAAAAATTTATAAATTTTGTTTTAGTCCCTCTAAAATTTAAAATATACTAAATTACAAGGTCAAAGTTATTAAAATATTTTTAGAAGCTTGATCGAATAACTACATTATAATTACCAATTCCTTTAAAAATTGTTAAATTAATGTTGTGTACATTTTAATAAATTTCTTTAGTATATATATATGTATGTATGTATGTATGTATATGTGTGTGTGTGTGTGTACACACACACACACACACTAAAAGTACTTTAGATATATTAAAAAGTACGAAGTATTACTTTAGATAAAATTTAAATGAATTTGTAATAATGTAGACATGTAGCTATTTGATTAAGTTTAAAAAAGTATTTCATTGAGCTTGTTATTAAGTATATATTTAATTAAAAAGAATAAACTAATTGTGTATGAAGTATTTAATACGGAGTAATTTAAAATAAGAATAAAGAAACCAAACAAGTTTTAGTGCGACTAAAAAACAAAATTTTTAAATTTTAAAGGGATCAAAACATATATTTAAATTAAGGGAGGACTATTTGATAAAATAATAATTTTAGAGGGATGCTATGATTAAAAAACTTTACAGGGACCCAAAGCAAAAGTCACTAATTTTTACAGAGACCAAAAACATACTTAACCATTTTTAAATATTCACCAAAATTCAAATAAAAGGAATTGAAAACAGTTTCGGTCAAATATCATAAGCACAAAGTGAAGTTTATATGGACAGGAGTATTTGATGTGGCTTTACTCTTGACACCCCTAAGGGTTCTATTGCACGGCATTCTCTCTCTTTTTTGGCGATAAGGTGCAGTTTTGCACCACCAAATCACCTGAGTACCAAAAAAGGGAGAATTAATTACTATGCAAGAAATGAACTTTTTTCCAAAGATAGAATAAGTAGACCTTTTCAACAGCCTAGTAAAACGGCCACTCTTTCATTATCTTGTCGGGTTTAGGCGTGCTAATGTCTTTCTTTCATTGACAGGAAATACAACTCATATATGACTTGAAGAACCACATGGAGCAACTCCACCAAGAGATTTTTCAAGTAAAGAGATCAATAAAGAGTTGCATGAACATGCAAAAGAAATTACAGCGCTCAATCAAGCATGAAGTCTCAGCTGTGCTTACCCAACCAGGTATACCCTACGGTCTTTTGTCTTGTCTAAAGAGCATTTGTAAATCATCGTGTTAAGTTTTTTTTGTGTGTGTCAAATAACGAATTGAAACATGACAATTTCGTGTCCATCCACAGGCCAGAAGAGAGGGAGAGGTTCGGGTGGCAACAAACGCACACGGAAAGGGAACTGCTGCATTTGCGGTGACAGTAAAATCGACTCTCTTCTTTACAGGTAAAAAAATGTCACAAAGTTGCTGAATTTTCATTGAGGTGAAATTTTTTTTTCCTTCTTCTCTTCTTCCTGAGTTTGTTAAAGAGTAAAAGGCACTTGCATTGCATTTCAGGTGTGGGCATATGTGCACCTGCTTTGGCTGTGCCCATCAGTTGAAATCTGATGACCAAAACTGTCCAATATGTCGAGCTCCTATCTTAGATATTGTGCGAACGCAAACTAATTAATTACTGAGACATGCCAAAAAAAGGTTTACTCTTGCTTTGGACAATAAAATATATGAAAGGAAAGATGTATATTCCCCGGGTTTATAACCCTTTTTTCTCATTATATTAAAAATCGTTCTTTTCAGTTAATTTCGTGTTCCGGTGCTTTATTACCGTTAAAGAAATGTTGATGTTTTGGCAGACCCATTCAATATTTGGGAAGATCAACATCCATGGGTTATTATAAGCAATAGACGTACAAATGTGAGACATAAGAGGGCTTGTTTGGTCAACCAATCCTCTCTCTGTGCAATTCCTAGCTTCCTCACCCCCTCCAATTTTTTATTTGATAGAGATGAAAAATATTGTACTCCCTATTAGTTAATTAGAGTTACACAATGTACCCATGAAACAATGACACTAATCCTTCTAATATGTGAGTCAAAATAAAATGTGACTATTTTTTTACGGCAGTTTTTTTATATAAATAGAAGTGTTAAACCGTAAATCATCCCATGACCGTTGTTAGTTGAGAATTGAAATGAGGCTTGGAATTTTTGTCTTGTAACGGGACAATTTCAGACACAAGTCTGTCGGGATCTACAAAATTATTTTTTCAAAATAATTATGGACAATAATTAATCTCCCAAGTGCGACAAGTGTTTTGATATATTGTGCGTCAAACATGGTGTTCGGTTGAATGAAAAATTAATTTACAAAGTCAAACACTTGAAAAGAGTAAAACACACGTATCGCACATCGCATTTCAGACTTTTCATCTTCCATCGTTCATATGTTAGCATTGAATTGAATGGTAAAATAATTTGAGGAGGAAAGAAAGGAACCCTTGTGTACTACCGCTGCCTATGCGGCTCGGCTTGACATGCATGCATGCGCATGACGTGGTGAGTGTGTGGGCAAACTAACTCCTATCCTTTTACGAGACTAAATTGAACACATGAGGGCAGTGCGTTAATAACGAAGGCGAGAGTGAGACATGCATGCATCTCTGAAGCAATAATCGTACAATAATTCCATTGGTGGTTCGTGTAATTGATAATTCATATCGCTAACACTCTCCCTACACCATAGCCCCCTCGGACCTCACTTGGCAAATTGGCGATTAAGGGAGGGGGATGGGGTGCAGGGGGCTGATTGGAAGTTTAGGGGAATACAAATCATTAATTTTACAAATGGGGCACCTTGGTACTCCAATTGCATCGTTGTATAAAATCTTATAAAAAAATTGTTGTAAGTTTATCACTCCTCTTATTTATATAGGTATATTATAAAAAATATTATAATATATTGTTCATGTCGATGGTGTAAAATAAGTACCAACTTAAGACAAAATAAATCGAAAGGGTTGTAGGCGAGAACATGTATAACCTGGTTGGTATTTATTATATACGTTTCGATTATATTCTCTCTCTCTCTCTCTCGTGTTGCCTCCCCTTTCCAAGGCTTACATCCGTATTTATAGGCAAAAATACATACAAAATACATACAAAATACAATTACACTGCCATCCACTCATTTTCTATTCTAGCCATTCTTGTGTCATGCTTGAATCTCGTGCCATAGGGTAAGCGGTGTGGGCATGGTCGTCCTGTCCTATCATCCACTTGTGCTGTTACATCTAAGTTACAATCTAAACGTTCTGTAACTCGCCGGTCAAATGAGGGAAGCTTGGTCCGTCATCCTAAGGAAACGTCCCGGTGAAACAGGCAAAGTCTGGATGAGAGGAGTCTCGTTTATGACTGCACTGGTTCCTCGCACTTGGTCTTGTCTCTTTCAACTGGTCGTGTCATACCCAGAAGGATATGGACTTTTACCCATCAAGAAGTCCTCCGCTTCCAGCCTTGTGGGAACCACCCAGGACGGGAAGAAAAAAGTGCGTCCTCCAATACCATCCTTGCGACGTGTCATTTTCAAAATTCGAATTTTAAATCTTCTGGATGGTGGGCTTTTTGGGCTCACGTGTATAGGTCCGTGAAATAATATGTTGTCATCTCAACAGTCAAGTCGTTGCGTCTTCCAAGTAGGTAATGATTACTAATTAATCATTACTCTCTCCATGTGTCTCATCTTGATAGGTCTTTCAGAGGCGGGAGAGTTGGCAGAAGGATGAGTAAACTCTTTTAATAATTTTAAGTATTTTGGGACTTGAACCCATATATGTAAATATGTTGAATATTATTTAGCTTCCTCAACAAATAAATTAAATTACTCCGAAAATTATTTTATCATGTTTTGAGGAGAATATGTTTTAAATGCTTTTAAATTACTGTTAGTGTTACTTTTAATATTTATGGAATGTTACTTTACCAAATTGCTAGCGCTCTGGTCCGCTAACCCGCGTGAACCGGGTTATGCGAATCAGGGTGTTACAAAGTTTGAATTTCTTCTTGAGCTATGTGTGATTCAACAAATTTTATCCACCTCGATCTCCTCATCCGCAAATTCATCAACTAGCCATTCATTTTTCTAGAGAATTGATTAGTGTCATTAGCTTCAAATTCTAATAGTTCATAGAGGCTTCCAATTTCCTTAAGAATATCTTTTTTTTTCATTATTGAAATACTCCAAATCAGAATCAGGATTTAGGGAGGAATAGGGGAATGTGTAGCACAAATCACCTTCTTTAGATACTAAACCCTTTATCTTAAGAAGTTCACCAAAATCTGAGTGACTATATCTCTTAAATTCTATTTGCCCAAGTAAATTTCGTATAATGTGATCCATTTCCTTTTTTATCGATATAATTCATCCCGAATCCCATCAAAGTTATTATAAGAGAAAAATGAGGAATAAGGAGAGGAATAATTTTCTTGGTAATCAAATCGATAATCAAAGTTCTTGTAATAATCCTTTGTTCATAATTATTCTCATTGAAAAATATAGGGGGATCATTACAATAACCCTGATTATAATCATCATTAAAATTAGAATAATTGTCTTGATAATTTGGTGGATGATCAAAGTAATTAAAATTATTAATATTCCTCCCATGATACTCAAAATAATCAAAATAATTATCATTCATAGAAAGATTGTTATACTAATCGTTTTTATAGCCTTGATCATTACCAAAATTATCTTGAAAATTTTTTGAACAATCAAAATTACCATTATCATCATTGTTTCACCTATTATCATTAAATTGATAATCATTTCCAATCATAGGTGGATTTTCATAATGGCAATTTTCATAGTAATCATGAGAAAAATTATTTTCACAATATGAATATGGAGGTTGATCATAACAATGAGAATTATTAAAATGATTACTAAAATGATTCATTAAAATGTAAATAAAACAAATTGAAGGAAAGCAAACAACTAAAAATAGCTAATAGACTAAAAATTCTCCTATGAAAATATTAAAACTAACTAGACCGTGCCACTCCCCGGCAATGGCTCCATTTGACGAACTACGTATAGTGGTATGGTAAGTCAACAAATAATTGAGTTAGACTCAAGCTATTTTCTCCAGGAGTGACGAATGGAATAGTTAATTTTATTATTTATCACAGTCTAATTTGTAGTCTAATAATATTTTAAAAGTGTGAAGAAATAACGAGTTTAAATGAATAAAATAACTAAAGCAACTTCAAGAGTTAAGATCAGAACTCGGACCCAACACAATTTAACTCGTCTTTAATCGGCAACAGGATTAATGAAATCTATAGCACTTATTTTTAATATATCTCATATTTCTAGGTCTCAATTTAAAACATAAATGCTAATCTTATATTTATTACATCTCCTATTTCTCGGTCTTAGTATTAACCTACAAGATAATTTGTTTCTAGTACATCTCCAATTTCTAAGTCTCAGCATTGTGCTAGAAAATGTTCGGCTTAAATAATTCTAAATCCTCACAGACAAGGCAAGAATAATTTTCCAAATACCTAACTAATAAAATGTTTATTACTATAAATTAGTTAAAACTATTCCAAGTGGTTATATCTAACTATGCCTATTTCCAGGGGTTTGAAATGTGTGCCTTAATCAATATTATTATCTCATAGACAAGATAAGATTAATTTCCAAAAATTGATCAGTTATTAAAAAATTCTATTAATTAATCGTAACTAAGTCATTTTCTAACAATTAATCCTATTGCTAATTAAGCGATGAGATTAAATTAACTAAATCCTAACCCATGGAAAATTACTAAATAGTAATTACAAATATATCATTCAATATCAACATTATAACATATAAAAATATGAAGGTAATATCAATCATCAAGAAAATTCAAAATAGGCAATTAATAATTTATTATAAAAAATCAATAACTATTACATTTAATAAAAACTTACAGTGCTCCAAAGCTAAAAAAATTGAAACTTGATGAGGAGAAGTAACAAAAATTATTTTAATATAGTTTTTGGAGATAATAAGTGGGAAAATTCGTCCTGAAAAAAGGGTAAAACGAAGTGGGAATGGCTTGGGAAGGATGGGAGCATCACATGGTATTTATAGGAGGAAGCCGATCTGATAATCGTAGTTTTTCGGGTAGTAAACGTTCCCAGTAAAGGGTTAGTTTTCTATCCGAGTGTTGTGTCTCTTGAGGATTGGATGGAGGGAATTAGCTAATTTCTCTAACTAGGCGAATGTTAGGATAGGTTTATGAAAGTCTTCTCGGGACGAAATAACAGAGAGCGGAGTAACAAAATTACATTAATTTCACATAGTATAAGTACATATCTGAATCTAGGGTCAAGACATCATTTGGATCCATTTTTAGAAATCACTCTAACTAGGACTAAAACATAGAGAAAAGTACCAAAATAGGACTTCCATGTTTTTTTCCCGAAATAGGACTTTGCACTGTGGTAATGTGACTTTGCAGTGTTGTAATGTGGCAGTGTACATGTGCAAATTAGTATACTTTTTTGGTAATGTATATGACCATGTATGGTAATGTAAGTCCTATTTCGAGAATAAAAACATGGAAGTCCTATTTTGGTATATTTTCAATGTTTTAGTCCTACTTTGTTCTTTCTCCCATCTATTTTATCATATTTAATTAATAGTTGGAAGGATAGTAATTACTCACATATTACTAGGATTCTTAATTACCGTGTTTGTGTTGAATACCCTATTTGTCACTAAAATGTTGTCTTTATACTAATAAATAATTCCCCAAAGTTTCATCCCCATTGGATTAAGAAAACATCACAAAACATCTACTTTGACTTTTGTGTATCAATGTTTTTTTTTCTTGTCTTCTTTTATTTTCACTTTCATTTTAACCATAATATAAAGTCAACACCAATAAACCTTCTCCATACATTAATCCACAAAATCCCCTCTCAAAATGGGCTAAAAGACATGGGTAACTGATGCATTGACATGTTCCCTTCTTTTCTTTGGCATGTGGCGCAAATTCCCCCATCGTTTTGGTCAATGTTTTGTTGTGTTTTTCTCCCCTGAGTAATGACTAACATTCCCCC